GAGCTGCTCCTAAGCGGAGCTCCTGCTACGTAGAGCCAGGAAGCTGATTTGAGGGAGCGGAGCGTTTCAGATCGGATCCTCTGCTGCAGGCTCCCAGGGAGAGCCGTCTTTCGCCGGTGAGAGACCTCAGCCTCCAGATTGGGAGCCGGTGGACCACGGCCTCGGTGGGCTTGGCACGATTGACCCAGGCTTGACTATGGAAGTGGCAGAACTGGAAGCGAAAGCTCAGACTCCTGGCCCAGTATTCCTGCTCCACGTGCCAGCCCTCCCAAGTCCCCATTCCAGAAAAACTGACGCTGGTTAACAGTGAAGAGATAAACAGCCTCACGTGATGTTTAGTATTGTAGCAATTGTTCTCCCTGTTTAGTACCATTTAAACTTGTCTTTTCTCAATTTGGAGCCTTCAGTCTGGGAACACTGATTTAATTTAACGGTCGTAGTGGTTTTGATCATCCAACTGTGTTAAAATTATGTTACCGAAGGTGAAGAAATGAGCTTCTACGAAAAAAGAATGAGCACTGCATTATTCTCCCAATTGTTCTTGGAGTTCTCCTTGAAAAGAAACATTGTTTCTTGATATGTAACATGTCCTATCCTTCCTAAATAACCTGAGTTTCTGAACTATAATGGTGACCTTAATTTCCCTGTCTTTTCCTACAGCTGACATTGATACTAGGTTGTTAGAGCAGTCCTTTGATGTTCTTGATACGGTATAAACCTGTGCATTTTTAAAGTAAGGTTACATTTGAGGAGATTAACGGTTCCTGTTTCTCCTAAGTGAGTACTTGCTTTTTCCATAAAATATTAAGAATAAGCAACCTTTATGTTAAAACAAACTTCCTCAGAAAAGTACATTTAAGTCACAGTGTACCCCCAATGTAACAATTACAATGTAAATTTTTAAAGTACATTTAAATATAATTGCTTTGTTTTTCCAGTCTCCGGGTCTTTAAAGGTATTTGTGACAATACAGAGTATCATATTTTGCACCATTTATTTTCATCTGCTGTAAGTGTAACTAGATAGTACAAAATTAAATTGAGTGTCCCTGTTATTTCAGATAAAGAAGCTGGAAGACCAGGGAGCACATTTCCTCTGAAATATAATTATACCTACTTGATAAAATAAGTAATGAAGAAGCATGGGCTGTCACAGACCATCCTGAAAAATTACAGAGTCATGTATAATATGCTATCCTCTTCAGACACCCAAGATTATTTTGAATACAAGAGTCTCATTTTTAGCATTATTGAAAACAAGAAAGAATGCACTAACTTTAAAACTATCAGTTGGGCTAGGGTATGCTCAGTGGTAGAACAAAATTCCTTCCCTCTAGGGAACCTCAGGTGTGATGAGTGCTCCATCCTGCCCCAGCTAAGCCTTCTGTAGCATCCCTGCTCTGTATTGTAGCACACACTTTCTGTATAGTTGTAAGTCCAGTTCTGCTGGACTGTATTATTTAGCAACTTGCTTTTTAAGGTTTACTAAGGCCAATATAATCTATCATCTAGGAAGAATTGGGCACCATTATGAAGACAATACCTCTCTGAAGATCCTATCCAATAACCCAAATATTAGGAGGTCTTTCCACTCTTACTGTTGATAACATAAGACTATTCCTGACCCTGTGTGAGCCCTTAGGATTATTCTGCATCTCCGTTTACAATGGTTCTGTTACCTGTGGGTGGTCTCAGAAGACTGTGGTGAAGATCTCAGAACTTTGGCATCCCTAACAAAGAATTCAATGGAGACACAGATTACAAAGCAGCAACAAAGTTTTATTGAAAAAGAAAGCAGAAAAGTACACTCCACGAGATCAGGTAGAGGTGACTCCAGATTGACACCTGTGGCTCAAGAGCGCAGATGACTTGATTCAGATGGGAATATATAAACTATAAAGGCTGAACAAAGGAGAAGATCTGGGTGATACTTAGGAGTGGCTTTTGGTGATTGACAGATTTGACTGATAGAGACTTGCTATATAACTCTAAACAAAAGACATCCGTCTACCCAGAATTCACTGTTATAATTGTATGCATGAGATGTAGTCAGTATTCATTAGGTTATAATTAGAGAATCTGGGGCAAAACATTACTTTGAAGCAAGATTTTTTCCTTGTGAGCATGCCCTGTTTGGTCAGTCATCCTGCTCACTCAGGATGTCGTGTCTAATCATTGCTATAGCTTTAACCACAAAGTTGGTGTTTTGAGTAATTCTGGGTGGAGCTAAGACACCTACTCCCCATGGGATGACCTACAGAGGTGACAGTGACCTACTTTCCCTAACTTTTCTGTCTCAGTTCTTTCTTGGGCCTCAAAACTTTCCCTTTCATACATGTACTAATCAGGTCTTGGTCAAAAAAAAATTGAGGGGAATCCTCTGCAGATCCCTGGAGTGCCTTCTTACTCTGTTACTGGTTTTTCTCTCCACAAATTCTAGCCATTTGGTCTCTACAAACTCTGAACTCTGTCTTCCAGTTTATTAAAATGGCCAGACTGGGTTTGCTTCTCCTTGTGTGAAGCCTGAAAATTCCAGACAATAAGCCTTCACAGAACTCAGCTTGTTTCTTTCCTTTCTCTCAGGGATCACTCTCCTACACCACCTATTGTCCAAAATCTAAAAACCATTTTTTCATGTATTTGTCTGTTTTTTAAATGATTAAAGCATGAGGATAAATCTCCACTATGGTGGGAAGCAGAGGTCTAACAGCTCTTCATAGTTGGAGGCCCCAGCAGAAGTGCTTTGCAATTCAGAAATTGTTTCATTCTAAGAGAACTGTAACTGCCAAGGTCCTAAAGCAGACAAGGATTTGGCACAGTATATGCTTGAGGAACATTAATAATCTTATAGAGTTGGGGCAGAAGAAGACATATGGGAGAGAGTGTCAGCTGGAACATTAATTTCCCATTATTAGTGTAATAATTTACCACCAAGAGTTAGGAATTCAAAATGAGTTTTACTTGGCTAAAATTGAGGTGTCAGCAGAGCAGCATTTCTTCTGAGGCTCTAGGAAAAGGAGAATCCATTTTCTTGCCTTTCTGCCTTCTAGAGGCTACTCATAATTCCTTGACTTGTGGTCTCTGTCTATCTTCAGATCTATCAATAGTCAGCAAATCCTTCATTGAGTTATTCTAACATCCACACTCTCCCTTCCTCTTTTACTTATTATGACCCTTGTGATTACATTACTATCACCCAACTAATCTAGGATAATCTACCTACCTCCAGTCAGCTAGTCTTTGCCTACCACAGCTGGAGACCAGATATGTAGAAAATTGAGCTTTTGATCTGAGACGGGAAGCAACTAGAGTGTATTGAGTAGAGGACTGACGGGATGTGGCTTATGTTTTCAAAGGCACATACCAGATATTGTTTGAAGGTTATACAGTGGCAAAGGGGGAAAAAGTAGAAGTAGAAACAGATTCATTGATAGATCATGAAACATAATCTAAAGAGGAAGTTAAGAAGCCAGGTGCTGGTGGCTCACACCTATATTCCTAACTACTTGAGATTGGGAGGACTGAGATTCCAAGCCAGCCCAAGCAAAAACTCAAAAGAGCTGAGCATGTAGCATGTGCCTGTCATTCCAGCTATGGTGAGAAGTATAAAACAGGAGAATCACAGTCCAGGCCAGCATGGGCACAGAGCAAGATCCTGTCTCCAATATAACTAGAGGGGAAGAAAGGGTTTTGCTCTGGTAAAGCATCTCAAGTACAAAGCCCTGAGTTCTAACTCCATTACCACCAAAAAATTTTAAAAACAGGGTGACTTTATCATCACTACACAAGGTTTCCAATCATTACATATTCTCCTTAATATTCAATACTATGCACCTTTCTAACGTCTACCTGTATCATCTGCAAAGTTCCTGAACATAACCTAAGTCCAAGTTGTAGCTGTTAGGCGCTCTTGATCTTGGTCTTGTAGCTGTATGAGATTGCCTTTGTTACTTTGACTTAATAGCATAAGCTAATATCTGGTGAGGCAAATTTGTTCTTTCTGACCAATTTGATTTAGCTCTTTATGGACCTTTAATCTTATATTCACAATTTCTTCTTGAATGGCAACCCAAAGCCCCCAAAATAATTGTTCTTCTTTCATGTCTTCAAGACTCTGGGAAACCAAGATAAGACTTACAGGGCCAAATATACCTTAATATACTCTGCAGTCCCTCTTACTAGATTGAAGTTCAATGTGCATATTGACAATTATATAAGTTAACATTATTTTACATTTCTTGATTTCGAATGCATAATATTTTATAGGATTTTCTTACTGCTTTTTTCCAGTTTTATATTTTGAAAATCACTTAATTTTTTATCCTTTACCTCCTACACTCAATGGTTGTTACATTTTACATATTTTACTTTCTCTCTGTATTTATCTATTGATCTGCCACTGAAAAATTTTGTGAGCAGTTTTAGATATGATCCTTCAAGTCTAAGTATTTCAGCTTGTATTTGCTAAAAACAAGGACATTCACTTATATATCTAGAATATAATTATACATTCATGGCATTTAACAATGATGCAATATTATCTAATGAACTATCCATCTCCAAATTTTCCAGTTATCCAAGTAATAGTCTTTGTAGTACTGCCCCCCAATTCAGAATCTTTCATTGCATTTGGAAATCATGTATCTTAACTTCCTTTAATCTAAAACAGTCCCCCACCCTCTGTGTATTACATGACTGTTACATTTTTGGACACAGACAGTCTTTATAGAATATTTCTCAATTTGGTTCGGTTGCCTTTCAATCTGATTGTTTCCTCATGGTTATATTCAAGTAGTGTTTCCCACATGCACATAGTACTGGAGATTGAGCCCTGGGGTCTTCACACTTGCCAGGCAAGCTCTCTACCATTGAGCTACATTCCCAGCCTTAAATTATGCATTTTAAACAAGTGTTTCCTTTTAATTAATTAAAGAGGAGAAACCAAAGAATAGAATAAACCCAATTTTATCAACTTGAAGATAATGTTAGATAATTTGTTTAATGAGGAAGAAAAATTCAAGTTCCAAATGTAACAAGCAGGTATGCCTACGTTTTGGAATTCCATCAGAGATTTTTATATACAGAATGTATATTTATTTGACATCATGCAGTTTATGCTAATGAAATCCAGGGCCACAATGGTAGAGACATAGATTTCTCATGAAGCACTTAAGGAGGAAATAAAATGTAAAGAACCTCCACAGTGATAAATTATGGACAATAGGAGGAGCTAATTTAGCTGTGAGACAATTGTATGTATAACATACTTGAAAAAGGGATGACAAGTGACCATTTGCCTGCCTCATGTTACAGGGGTGAGGGTGGAACATGTTCTGTTTAGCAAATAACCTCCCCAGAAATAGAAGGGAGGGAAGGAGATGGAAGGAGGAGATTCTTACTAAAACTGCCTTGCGGAACAAGAACAGAAAGCTGAGGCTTCATTTTTCCCCAAAATGTTATAAGCATATTTAACAAACATAGCTCCCACAAAGCAGATATATATTCGGGGGAAATGATAAAGAGAATACAGGGTACAAAATCCCATTTTGACTTTTAGTGGAGATGATGAGACTCCAGGAGAACAGAAAAAGACTGGGAACAGCTTCTCACACAAAGAATACAGTAACTTGCCATGTCCTGAACAGGCTGTATTTGTATGTCACTCTTGTTTAAATTACCAACCTAACAAAACTATCTTGTTGTTCTTGATTCTCCATTATAGTTCCCACAATGCAAGAGAACAATCTGAAAGGATTGCTGTGGATCTTTACTAAGCAACCAGGTAAGGCAGGTGGCTTCGTTGGGCAGAGGAGGTCAGCGGGTAAAGATGTGAAGACCTGTGTGCTCTCTTGCTCTTGGATGGACTCAGGGAAGCACTTGAGTTGTGGAGCAAGTACTTTAGCAGGGAAGGTCCTCTATTCTGTGTTGAGGTCCGGGACCGCATCAGAAATCTTTTTAAAATGTAGCTGAATTGTATTTGACTCCCAGAAAGCCAATCTGTACTATTTATCTAATTGTTATAGTAAATGACATTTGAGTAATTGCTATATTTAGTATACTATAGTAAGTCCCGGACTCTGTTTTGTAATAGATCAAACACTCATACTCAATCACAAATGTAGTTGAACAGGGTTGCAAAAGATTCTTTAGAAATTTGCAGTATAAATGACTAGAGCTTGATGGATGTGGAACCATAAACAATCAAAAGATAGTTAAACATCAAAGATAGTTAAAATCAGAAAAATAATGCATCCTAGAGAGGGCAGATGCCTTCATTCACAGCTGTGAAATCTCCAAATCCAAGGTGGCTGTTTGAGCTCCTTTGGTAGATCACTATTCACTAATGAGAACTTTTTTGTGCCAGGAAGCCTCTGCCATCATGGTCAGCTTCACCTAGAAAATGTCTATCCATCTTTCAAAGCCCAACTCTGATGTAGGCCTTTCTCTTTGAGAATCTCTCCAGAGCTTCTCTCCAGTTTGTATGCTTTTCTCAACATATTAGGCATCCTTGATAGCAAGTACCATATCTTTATTGGACCCTTTTATTTTTTGCATATCACCTAGCAGAGAGAATGGCCTTTGGTAATTACTTCTTTAACTTATTAATAATTAAAAGTTTTTGCCAGCAGGAATGATAGGAAAGAACTAAAGAAGTTCTTTTAGTTCTTAGTTCACCTTTTTTTTCTGAAAGGTGATAAGTATAAAATCAGGCAAATTCCTTTTCCCAAAAGACTTTGAAGGGCATCTATAGATCCTATAAGCCCCCTCACAAAGAAAATGTAAACCTTGGAAGGTAGAAGGCAGTTTTTACTTTATATTTTTTAAATCACTATAGCATTTCTTTCAAATACCCATTGCTATGAAGTTGTTGAAATTCCTTTTGCATTCAGTTGTTACCTATATCTTTTTATTTCCCCAGTAATCAAATGGAAAAGAAACATTTCTTGCACTACTTAAAAGTTATCTTCAAACTGCCTTGATATTTGTCCAGCTGTCCCCATGAGATTTTTGCTTAGTAAATCTGCTACTCAGGTATCTGCTATGCAAATGGATTCAAAAGTGGATGGTCACTTAATGCGAGGTATAGAGAAAAAGAAGCTGCATCCAGTGACTCAGTTATTTCAGAACACCAATAAAATAAGATTTGAAGATATAAACCAAGAAAACCTTACAAGAATTGAAAGGACTGGCAGAGGAGCTCTTTAAGAGAAAGTCTTGGATTCAGAGAAAACCTAGGATATGTTAAAGAAAGTGATGGGATAGAAATTACAGATTTGGAATGAAGTAACTTGTACATATTACCAAGGAAACCTAAAATTGCTTTTGATTAAGAGGAGGGGTTGAAAAATTAGAGATAAGGGCAAAATAGTTTCTGCCGGGTATAGAGGGGGTTGGGGGGGAGAGGGAGGGGGCAGAGTGGGTGGTAAGGGAGGGGGTGGGGGCAGGGGAGAGAAATGACCCAAGCATTGTATGCACATATGAATAATAAAAAAATAAAAATTTTTAAAAAACAACAAAAAAACCCAAAAAATAACCACAGCAAAAAAAAAAAAAGAGGAGGGGTTGAATGCAGACTGACTTTATTAGGGAAACCTCTTAACAAAATAGAGGAAGGCTATTTTAAATTTTTCCACTATCTATGAGTCATCTTAAAGTGCATTTTTGGTGGTGCATATCCAAAAGACAGTTGCTTTAGGGACAAAAAGCCTTCCAAAAGTCAAAGCAGATTTCTTGGGAATTTTATTGGGTCCTTATTAAAAAAAAAAACAGTGTTTAGTAACAGTATTTGAATGGCACCAAAATATTTTACAGTAATTTTAATTAATTTCTTTGACAAGTAGTTTTTTTATAGTGTCCAAGCAGTTTGATGCACTCCATACCATTTCTGGTGTACCACTTTTGTATGTTGCATTTCCAGTTTGGGATTTTGCTTTAGAATACTTTACTTCTTTACATTTTGTATTTCTGTTGTATAAAAGATCACTGCAGATAAACTCTGCAGTGATAGATAGATAGATAGATAGCTGGTGTCTGCCAGAATATTGCATATCTTCAGGAGCATTTCACATTTTAAATCTTTTCCCCCATATTGAATCCATTTCAGAATTAGAAAATAGTTCTTTCCAAGTGTAATATTTATCTTGCTACCATTTATACCATCAATACACATAAGAATAAAACAACCTATTGTGAAAAAAACCTTGTTTTTTGAAATAGCAGTATTGTCCTGTGTTAGATGAAATTAAAACTATTTTGTATTCAGACATATAGTGAAATGTAACTATTTATACTATATATGATTTGTTTATATTATATATTATTTGTTTGATTTATTTTTGGTGCTGGGGATTGAAACCAGGGCATTGAGCATCCTAAGCACTTGTTCTGCTTGGGAGTTATACACCCTGTATATGTTATGTTATGTTTGAACATGTTCCTGTACTCTAGTATTTAATGGCTATCTCTTCTGCCCAATTACAAAGGAAAAGGGCTCTCTGAGGAAAATAATATTAATATTAAATAATATTTATAATATTTGTAATGTTTATAAATCAGACAAATACTAGAAATCACACAAATACTAGAAAAATATACTTATAGAACAGGGATTATTAAGCTCAGAGTAAAAAATAAATGCAAATTGTTGAATGAAACATAAACCAAAAAGAATGCTCTTTATCCTTTACAGAACATACCAAAAACACAGAAATCATTGATTGTTCTCCTGGCTTAGTACTTTGCTTGGTGCTAGAAATATATCAGTGAATCAAACAGACACTGCTTGCATAGTGCTTTATATTTCTGTCTTCCAGGGAAGACAACATAATACAACAATCACATACAAACCATGAGGTGCTCTGAAGAAAAAGTATAACATTCAGAGAGATATAATAGGAGGCATAACACATAAATTTGATTTGACATTTATAACTTTCACAGTAACATGTCCAAGTTGCTGATGATGGTGGCCATCCAGGTGGAAAGAAGAAGATGGAGTCCAGGTGAAGGATATAGTGATGGTTTGGAAGGAGACATAGGAAGAAAAAGGGTTTCTTGTAAAAAGTCAAGTGTATTGAGGTTTCTTGGAATTAAAGAGCTCAAGAAGCAGTTTTGGGATATACCAGGTTTCCAACATAGTTGTGTATGTGACAATAAAAATAAAAATTTGAATTTGGTTGCAAAAATGGTATTTAAAGGTATGAAAGCCAGGCACAGGTATGTTTCATGCCTGTAATCCTAGCTTCTCAGGAAGCAGAGATAGGAGGATCGCGGTTCAAAGCCAGCCCAGGTAAATAGTTCTTCAAGACCCTATCTTGAAAAAACCCCACCAGAAGAAAGGGCTGGTGGAGTGGCTCAAGGTGTAGATCCTGAGGTTCAAACCCCAATACTGCAAAATAAATAAATAAATAAATAAATGGGAGTAAATGAGATTGCTTAAGGAGAATTATATAGGAGATAAAAATTTGAAGAACTCCTTCATTTGGAGGCTGATTAGAGCAGTGGTGGCTGTCAAAGGGTACTGGGGAGTTGGTAGTAAGACTAGAAAACCAAGATGGTAATGTCAAGGTTACCCACAGGAGTCTTTCCAGATGGAGGTAGTCAACTGAAAGGTTAGCTGGGGATGGAAAAGTCAAATTTGGCAACATATGAATGGCGATCATCAGTAACCTTAGCAAAAGCATTTTTGCTGGAATAATGGGGGCAAAACTCATTTAGGAATGAAGTAAGAAAATAGATGCTGGATGTATATATTGGATGTGTAGCAACACTTTGAAGAAGTTTCACTCCAAAGAGGAGTAGACAGAATGAAAGGTAGAAGTAAGGTTTCTGGAGGAGTGTGAAACCTGTTTGTCACTGGAGAGGTTCCAATGGAGAAGCTGAAGAGTAGGAGAGGAAGTAGCAGTGCTTTAGAGCAGGAAGGAGAGAGTGGGATTCTCCAAAACCACCTTGAGGACATGGGGATAGGGGTAATAAACTGTATCATATCAGATTTCAGAGAAATGGAATTTAGAACAGAGTCATATAAGCAGAGGGCAACAATCTTGTGGGGCTACTTTTAATAACTAGGACATTTCATACTGTGATTAACTCTGGACTGTATCCATTCCCACTAACATGGGACTAAAAGGCAGACTAATTCAGAGTGACCTCAGCCAAAGGCATAATAGTAAATAAGCCATTGTGTTTGAATTGTAGTTTAAAGGAAGCCCTAATCATTTATGCTATCAACATCACCAAACTGAGCATGAGATTCTTCTTACTCCAAAAGTCAAGTCTTGGAGGTTTTCAACTGAAAGAGAGACTGGTTTCTGTGAAAGATTGAGAGATCACCACAAATTCCTTGGTCTACTTTCATGAAGAGATGGGGTCCAGCCCAGCGCTGGTATCTGAAGTCTGTAATACTAGCTACTTGGGGGGCTGAAATTGAGAGTATTGTGGTTTGATGAGGCCAGATGAGGCCAACCCAAGCAAAAACTTCAAGAGACCCTATCTCAACCAATAGCTGGGTACATTGGTGTGTGCCTCTCATTCCAAGCTACACAGGAGGCTGAGATGGGGAGAATCACAGTCCCAGGCCAGTCCATGCAAAAAAGTATGTGAGACTCCATCTCACTTTTAAAAAGCTGGGCATGTTGGCATGCACCTGCCATCTCAGAAAGGCTGGAAGCATAAAATAGGAGGATCAGGGTCTAGGCAAATGTGGGCAAAAAGCAAGACCCTATTTCCAAAATAACCAGAGAAAACAGGGCTGAAGGTGTGGTTAGTGGTAGAGCACCCACCTTGCAAGTGTGAAACCTTAGGTTCAAACCCCAGCACCAACACACCACACACACACACTAGAAATGGGGTCCATTATCCCACTGCTTAACTCTGGCCTGACTGTTCCTTTTTCCATTTCAATGTAGCTGAATTGCTGCCTCTAAGGCTAGGCCTGAACTGAGCTGCCCACACGAGCCAGAACCAACTGACAGAGTATGAATAAGGGTCATCTTGGATAGTCCACTCAGCTAACCCTTGATGAATGAAGTCACAGGAGCCAGTCCAGTAGAAACCAGCAATCACCAAGTTGCCCACAAAATTGTTAGATAATAAATCTTTGGTTTAAGTCACTAATGTTTGAGGTAGCTTGTTACATTGAAATAGCTAGCTGAAACTATTGTTGCCTTGCTACCTTTGCTACTGGAGGAATTTCTCAACTGGCTGAATTGCAAAGATTTTCTTGCCAACTGCAATAAGGAGCACCCCCAAGTGTATTGATCCCTATCCTCAGTGTTTTCAAATCCACTCAGTCCAACTTACTACAATCTCTGTGTTGCAAATACCAACGTTTATTCCTTCAAACGCATTTTGCCTTTCAAAACTTTTTAAAATTTCCTCAACCTTAGAGTAATACCTGCCGGTTGGATTATGAAAAAGAGATATGAGATGCAAAGACTCAGCACAACATCTACATGTTCAGGAAAGAGTACTTGCTGGTACTCCAGCCTGCGTGTGACCTGATAACTCTGGGTTTCTGGGGACTCCCCTGAACTCACTCCAGGAAATGCTCCCCGGCCAGCCTGCACACTGGTCTCTTCGACCTTCACCCCTAGGTGACCATTATCTCTGCTGTCACAAGGGGACATCTGAAATAGGGCGAATGTGGCCTGCTTTCTTGCCTTTAGTCTGGTTGTGCGTTACCTGGTCTGCTCTGAAAAGCCCTTGAGAACAAGGCGGGCAGCAGGCAGCGGGCAGTCATGACCCACACTCTAGCAGAGGAGAGGGTGATCTGCCCGCCCGTGGGGTGGCCACGCCTCCTCTGTCCTGAGGGGGCGTGCCCTCCTAGATGGGCGGGGCGAGCACAGCCTCCGCCCGTGGGCGTGGCCGGTGGGGGCGAGCCCTGGTCGCGTGCGCAGCTTGCCGGGTGCTCTTGGGCCCGACGCGTGCTTCTTCCGCGCTGTTCCGCAAGAAGCAGTGAGCGTGACCGGAAGTAGCAGGTGAGTGAAGCCGGAAGCAGATATAATAGGGACTTTGCAAGTGGCTGCAAAGCGCACCGGATCCTGAGTCGCGTTCAGAGTCCCTCGTGGGGTGGTCGGCGGGCAGCTGCGACCCCGACACCGAGTCCGGCTTGCTCCGCCCCGGGCCGCCCCGGCTGGTGCCGAAGTCTCTGTAGTTTGCCGTCAGCGCTTGGGACTAGCAGTTTCACTGTTAGGGGAGGCTGATCCCGACCCCAGGACGGGGTTAAACAACGTAAAACGTATTGGGTGCCAGCTGTGTGCATGCCCACACGACAGCCAAAAAGGGAGGTAGAACATGCATACGGATCGTAATGAGCTTCTAGGTCAGTTATGTATCCTCAGAGACGTGGCAAAGTAATAAGGTTTTATGAAAAAGCTGAGCCTGCTTAAAAACATAGATGGGATTGGGGGCGGGGAGAGGGTTGTTGGATGTTTTGCAGTGCAGAGTGTCAGTGAAGTGTTCCCAAGATGTAAGAATGCCTTCCGAGAAAAAACAAAAACAAAAACCTAACATTAGTAATTAAAGGGTGAAAGTAGAGGGTGGGGGATTATAACTCAGTGGTAAAGCACTTGCCTAGCATGACCAAGACTGCGTCCCAATCCCGGCAAAGAAAAAAAAAGTGATAGTAGAGATACGCAAAGTGACTTTTATAGAAACAATTTTACCAAGCTTTCAAAGTCTTACTATAGCCTGACAACTAAAAAGACTGTGGATTGTTCATTCGGAGGTCTGTCTACTATTGGAGCACAGAATAAAAGCAGCACAACTGTCCTAAAGGATACAAGGCTCTTCTGTCCTGGCCGAAGAGTAGGATATCTCTTTGGCCCGGGAGTTGAGGATAGGTGCTCTCCTTAGGGCCCATTCCATTAGACAGTGAAATCTTATAACTCAGTGGTTTTGCTCTGATTATGTATTCACCAAGCAAACTTACTTCCTACAAGAAGTACTTGGACAGGCTGATAGAAATACCTGGTTGATAGTCCATGGTTCTCTGTGTCAATTAGTAAATTGGCATTCCGGTTTCTTGAATGTACTTGGAACATTCTTTTTCTCTTGTATGGTGCTTTCTCATCCTTTAGGGCTCAGCTGCAATGTTACACTTTCACCATGGCCTTTTTATTGGTTAACATGTTCAGATACCTACAACAGTTTCTGGAACATACTAGGCATTCAGTATAACTCCTCTCACATCACCGTTTTAATGAGTCCTACTCTAAAGACCCTATTTAAAATTGACTCTCACATACACATTCCCACTCCTCCCTTTCCCAGACCTACATTTTCTTTTTTCTCTAGCCCTTATAACCTTTTTTTTGATGAATCCCAAGTGCCAAGAACAATGCATGTCATATAGTAGATGCAGAATTTGTCAAATACATGAACAGAAAAATAGAGATGAGTTGGGAGGAACAGTTAGCATTTCAACACATTTCATATTGGCCAGATGTGAATGATTTACACATAATACATTTAATTCAACTATTCTTTGAGATCTAAGGCAATTAAAGCAACTAGAGATTATAAATTACTTGCCTAAGGTTATTCAGTTAGTATTATGCTTTCCTGCCACACTCTGCGTATGCTAACGAGTGAGAGCCTTAACCTTAGGAAAGAATATGTCACAGGGTCTTTGAGACACCACTTCCACAGACACCTTGCAGCTTTCTAGCATCCCACACATGACCAAACGTGTTCCTCGGTTTCTCCCTTGGATCACAGTGGAAGAGGATCCCTTCTGCTGCCTCACTTTCTGAACTCTGGTCCCTGGCACCTCCACTTCCTTCCAGTGTTGCCCTCTTATGACTTGCCAGGCAGCATCTAAACATGCTCAGGTTTCTTGGATCTTAAGTCCTTTCCTAACTCCATGTTTCTTCTAACTACTGCCCTGGCTTTTCTACTTCAGAACTAGATTATTCTCATTGTCTCTACATTGGGCCTCCCATTCACTTTTCATTTTTTTTCTTTGGCAGGGTTTCACTATGTCGCCAGGCTGGCCTTAAATTCATGATCTTCCTGCCTGCTCTCCCCAATGCCGAGATTATAGAAATGTGCTACCACACTTAGCAAAACTTCTTGTATCTATGCTCAGTTTTTTGTTTTGTTTTTTTCTCTTTCCTTTGTTCTCTCTCTTTCCTTTGCATATCCTTTCATCTTTTTTTTCATTTTTCTTTTATTATTCATATGTGCATACAAGGCTTAGTTCATTTCTCCCCCGTGCCCCCACCCCCTCCCTTACCACCACTCCCTCCCCCCTCCCTCTCCCCCCCTTCAATACCCAGCAGAAACTATTTTGCCCTTATTTCTTAATTTTTGTAGAGAGAGTATAAGCAATAATAGGAACAAGGGTTTTTGCTGGTTGAGATAAGGATAGCTATACGGGGCATTGACTCACATTGATTTCCTGTGCGTGTGTTACCTTCTAGGTTAATTCTTTTTGATCTAACCTTTTCTCTAGTACCTGTTCCCCTTTTCCTATTGGCCTCAGTTGCTTTAAGGTATCTGCTTTAGTTTCTCTGCGTTAAGGGCAACAAATGCTAGCTAGTTTTTAGGTGTCTTACCTATCCTCACCCCTCCTTGTGTGCTCTCGCTTTTATCATGTGCTCATAGTCCAATCCCATTGTTGTGTTTGCCCTTGATCTAATGTCCACATATGAGGGAGAACATACGATTTTTGGTCTTTTGGGCCAGGCTAACCTCACTCAGAATAATGTTCTCCAATTCCATCCATTTACCAGCGAATGATAACATTTCGTTCTTCTTCATGCTGCATAAAATTCCATTGTGTATAGATACCACATTTTCTTAATCCATTCGTCAGTGTGGGGCATCTTGGCTGTTTCCATAACTTGGCTATTGTGAATAGTGCCGCAATAAACATGGATGTGCAGGTGCCTCTGGAGTAACAGTCTTTTGGGTATATCCCAAGAGTGGTATTGCTGGATCAAATGGTAGATCGATGTCCAGCTTTTTAAGTAGCCTCCAAATTTTTTTCCAGAGTGGTTGTACTAGTCTACATTCCCACCAACAGTGTAAGAGGGTTCCTTTTTCCCCGCATCCTCGCCAACACCTGTTGTTGGTGGTGTTGCTGATGATGGCTATTCTAACAGGGGTGAGGTGGAATCTTAGCGTGGTTTTAATTTGCATTTCCTTTATTGCTAGAGATGGTGAGCATTTTTTCATGTGTTTTCTGGCCATTTGAATTTCTTCTTTTGAGAAAGTTCTGTTTAGTTCACTTGCCCATTTCTTTATTGGTTCATTAGTTTTGGGAGAATTTAGTTTTTTAAGTTCCCTGTATATTCTGGTTATCAGTCCTTTGTCTGATGTATAGTTGGCAAATATTTTCTCCCACTCTGTGGGTGTTCTCTTCAGTTTAGAGACCATTTCTTTTGATGAACAGAAGCTTTTTAGTTTTATGAGGTCCCATTTATCTATGCTATCTCTTAGTTGCTGTGCTGCTGGGGTTTCATTGAGAAAGTTCTTACCTATACCTACTAACTCCAGAGTATTTCCTACTCTTTCTTGTATCAACTTAAGAGTTTGTGGTCTGATATTAAGATCCTTGATCCATTTTGAGTTAATCTTGGTGTAGGGTGATATACATGGATCTAGTTTCAGTTTTTTGCAGACTGCTAACCAGTTTTCCCAGAGGCTGTTTTTGTTGAAGAGGCTGCTATTTCTCCATTTTTAGCGTATATTTTTAGCTCCTTTGTCAAAGATAAGTTGCTTATAGTTGTGTGGCTTCATATCTGGATCCTCTATTCTGTTCCACTGGTCTTCATGTCTGTTTTTGTGCCAGTACCATGCTGTTTTTATTGTTATTGCTTTGTAATATAGTTTGAAGTCAGGTATTGTGATACCACCTGCATTGTTCTTTTGACTGAGTATTGCCTTGGCTATTCGTGGCCTCTTGTGTTTCCATATAAATTTAACAGTAGATTTTTCAGTCTCTTTAATGAATGTCATTGGAATTTTGATGGGAATTGCATTAAACATGTAGATTACTTTTGGGAGTATCGACATTTTTACTATGTTGATTCTACCAATCCATGAGCATGGGAGATCTCTCCACTTTCTATAGTCTTCCTCAATCTCTTTCTTCAGAAGTGTATAGTTTTCCTTGTAGAGGTCTTTCACATCTTTTGTTAGGTTTACACCTAGGTATTTGATTTTTTTTGAGGCTATTGTAAATGGAATTGTTTTCATACATTCTTTTTCAGTTTGCTCATTGTTAGTGTATAGGAATGCTAATGATTTTTCTATGTTGATTTTATATCCCGCTACCTTGCTATAGCTATTGATGATGTCTAGAAGCTTCTGAGTAGAGTTTTTTGGGTCTTTAAGGTATAGGATCATGTCGTCTGCAAATAGGGATATTTTGACAGTTTCTTTACCTATCTGTATTCCTTTTATTCCTTCTTCTTGCCTAATTGCTAGGAATTAGCAGTACTATGTTGAATAGGAGTGGAGATAGTGGGCATCCTTGTCTGGTTCCTGATTTTAGAGGGAATGGTTTTAGTTTTTCTCCGTTAAGTATAATGCTGGCTGTAGGTTTGTCATATATAGCTTTTATAATGTTGAGGATCTTTCCTTCTATTCCTAGTTTTCTTAGAGCTTTTATCATGAAATGATGTTGGATCTTATCAAAGGCTTTTTCTGCATCTATTGAGATGAAGTGGTTTTTGTCTTTGCTTCTGTTAATGTGGTTTATTACATTTATTGATTTTCGTATGTTGAACCACCCCTGCATCCCTGGGATGAAGCCTACTTGGTCGTGGTGAATAATCTTTTTGATGTGTTGCTGTCCTTTCATCTTTTCAGGGTTATGTTGAAGGCTCTACTGTTTACTCACAAAACCCTCTCCAGACAGTCTGGTCTCCTCTCATGACCTCAGTTACCATCTATTCAGCATTGGTTGCTTAAAACACACACACACACACACACACACACACAAACAAAAATAATCACAGACTCTCAAGTTCAACACAGTCAAAATGAACTAAATTTCTTTACCCTATATCACCTAAGAGTTCTGTCCTAGGAAGTGTAACCTCCCTCCACCCATTTGCTAAGCCAGAAATCAGGGCATAACATTAGTAAGATACTAACTCATATTATGTACTTTCTGTGAGCCCAGCATTCTTCTATGCCTGTATTCTTCTATTCTTGCCTGTATTGGTTCATCTAAGCCTGATACTATGAGTCCTGTCATTATCTCGATAAAGAATCTGAGGCACAAAATAGTCAGCTGATCTGCTTTTGGTCATTCAACTGGAAAAAGACAGAGTTGGGGTTTGAATGCTGGTACTTAGGTGTGAGTTTGTAAACCTATCATTAAGGACATTATCCTTGATTTCTCTCTGTCACCATCACTTAACTCTTTGCTAAAAACTGAAGGTTTTCCATGCTTAAATCTCTAGGTGACCTCAGTAAAGTATAAATCCAACCTCCAGCTTCTTTAAAAATCTTTAGCATCAGCTGGGCGCTGGTGGTTCATGCCTATAATCCTTGCTACTTGGAAAGCAGAGATCAGGAGGATGGAGGATCAAGGCCAGCCCAGGCAAACAGTTGGCAAGACCCTATCTTAAAAATACCCAACACAAAAAAGGGCTATCGGGAGGCTCAAGTGGTAGAGTGCCTGCCTAGCAAGCATGAGACCCTGAGTTCAAACCCCAGTACTGCCAAAAAAATAAAAACAAAACAAAATCCTTTAGCACCTCCCCCATTACACTCAAGATAAACATGGATTTGAAGGCTTTTCATACTTTAACCTCTCCTCATCTTGCTTTCCACTTTCTTGCAACTCCATTCTTGCACTCATCAGTACCAGAAAATGGAATTAAACTCTTTGCGTGAATCCTTGTTGGAATACTTTTCCTTACCCCTATTATATCTGAGCTTTTGTGTTACTTCCACTAATTAGTGGACTAGATGGCCTTCTTATCACAGCACTTATGACAATATACTTAAATTATTGTCTTATATAATTTAAGTATAAATTCCTTGAAGGCAAGGATCCTTTCTTTATTGCTCATATCCATCCCCTCCTTTCTTTGTGTCTGCTACTCTAGTTCAGATCTTCATTATCTCTGCTTGGACAACTACATTAGCCAATTAACTGCTCTTTGTAGCTCTAGTCTCTACTTTAATACTTGCTCAACACTGCGAAGATAGTTTTATGTAATTGTCGATTTAACATTTTCCTGCTTAAAACACTTCAATAGGCCTGGAGGTGTGGCTCAAAGCAGTAGAGCACCTGCTTTGCAAGCTCAAAGTCCTGAGTTCAAATCCCAACCCTACCAAAAAAAAAAAAAAACCTTCCAAGGGCTGGCAGAGTGACTGGAGCAGTAAGAGCACCTGCCTGGTAAGCCAGAGGTCCTGAGTTCAAACCCCAGTGCTAACAAAACAAAACAAACAAAAAAAAAAACTTCAATAGATCCCAGCTACCCTTCAGAAGAATCAAAATGTTTTAAGGATTATGTGAACTTGTCTCCTCCCTTCTCTGTGCCCTTTCTGTCTTGTGCCCGAGAGGCAATCCATAAGTATTTGTTGAATGAATACAGGACGAATTCAAATAGAACCAAGAAAAAAGAGATTAACCAAAGAAATGTAATCTGAACACAGAGACTTTCTAGGACAGTGTAGCCATAGCTTTCAGTGGAGCTAGAATACTGGCTCCACTGCACCTCTGGCCTTAGAGGGGAGCCCCAAAACATGCCTTTCTGTTAGATAATTTTTTTTCTTTTTTTTAATTGATTTTTTTTTCTTTTTAGCATTACTGGGGTTTGAACTCAAAGCCTCATACTTACTGGGCATGTACTTCTACCACCTGAGCTAAATCTCCAACCCTGTGCTTTAGTTATATTTCAAATGGGGTCTTGTATTTATGCCTAGGCAGGCCTGAACCATAATATTCCCGTTTATACTTCCTTAGTAACTGGGATGACAGGCACATGCTACCACACCCAACTTTTATCGGTTGAGATGAAGGTCTCGAAAACTTTTGCCCAGGCTGGCCTTGAACTGCGATCCTCCCAATCTGTGCCCCCGAGTAGCTAGGATTACAGGCATGAGCTACTGCGCCTGGCCTAGATATCTCTGTATTTGTTTAGAATATGTACTCTCAGTGACTTGGTAAACCATCAGATTTTAAGACTCAGAGTATCCTTCCTGTATTAAACCAATCCAGATCTTTCTTAGAGAGAGGGGATATAAACTGATTCAACTTTTCTGTAGCATAGTTTATAAAATATAATGAGTGATGAAAATGTGAAGACTCTATAACCCAAATTATATTTTTAGGGTATTTAACCAAAGAATTTGGCCTAGTTACAGATTTCAGGAACCTATTTTATTTCTAGTTCTTCGTCCTAAAGGAAAATTACAAACAGCTTAAGAAATAAAATTGGAATAGAATGGTTTAGTTAAGACCATAGTAGTCAAAGGACTTCATTTTCATAGCTAGCATTTTCAACCTTTTGTCACTTAATATTTTACTAACACTGCTAATACAGGTAATGTATAAATTTCTCCAAGCAATGAATCGTTCATAGCCTTTCCATGTAATTTCTCATATTCTGATTGCCTCTCTCTGACCTCAGGGGGTTCATCCCTATTTAATGTTGACCTAAATAAAGGTTACACTGCCTGTCAATCACATTTCCCAAAGTCAACACAAGTCCTGAATTCAAATCCCAGTACCCCCAAAAATGCATGTATATATATATATACACATATGTATATACACACATATAAATACATATATATACATCTATAACTACATAAATATCCCAAACTTAAATAGGAATTGTTTTAAAACATTATGAAGGAATATTTAGGCTTTTGATAAAGATGTTAATGAATGCATTATTCATAATACAGAAAAACTAGAAAAAACAGACAAGAAACTGATTGAGTAAATTGGTGTATTTAACAATGAAGTATTACGTGATCATTAAAGCTGATACAAAAATAGAATGAGAGCATGTACCTGTGATCCTAGTTACTTGAGAGGCTGAAGCAGGAAGATCATGTAAGCCTGGAGTTCAAGGCCAGCCTGAACAACACAGTAATTCCATGTCTCAAAAATAATTTTTTTGAGTGAAATAAAGTAGTTATACTTTGAGTGGGGGTATATTGTGTGGGCATATATACATATGAATGGGTTGTTTACACTAAAATGTTAATTGTGATACTCTCCAGGTGGTAGGATTTGGGATTCTATTATTTTCTTCTTTTGGCTTATCTGTTATTTTCTCAATGAACATGTATTACCTATGAATTCAAAATAACTTATTTGGCTTTGTGATACATTTGTGATTTATAATGTATTTTCAAACAATACTTATATTTGAAAAACCTGTCCTCTCATTTCAACTGAAATTATTTAAAGTTTATCTTCATTTGTTTACATTGAGTACTCTGTTATAGAGTTGCTAAGGCTAAAAGGCAAGAAAAGCCTTGGATCAAATAACCAACAATTGATAGCCAGAAAGTAGAATTTAATTTTCCTTTAATTTTAATTAATTAATTAATTAATTAAATTTTAATTAATTTAATTAATTTTAATTTTCCTTTAAATTTAATTTTAATTTCCTTTAATTTTAATTGATCTGTTTGTCTCTAGGTTTAGAAGCATGCTGATCCCATTTTCATTGAAGAATGGCTTCCAGTTGCTTTGTAACCACAAGGTCCCAGTGGCTGGCTTTAAGAACACAGCAAAAAGTGGACTCATTTTACAGTCGATTTCTAATGACGTATATCAAAACCTGGCTGTGGAAGACTGGATCCATGACCACTTAAATCTAGAAGGCAAGCCAATTCTCTTCTTTTGGAGAAATTCTGCCTCTGTTGTCATTGGTAGGCATCAGAATCCTTGGCAAGAAAGTAACCTAAACTTGATGAGAGAAAAAGGTATAAAACTGGCTCGGAGAAGAAGTGGAGGTGGAACAGTCTACCATGATATGGGTAATATCAACTTGACCTTCTTCACAACCAAAAATAAGTATGATAGGATGGAAAATCTGAAATTAATTGTGCGAGCTTTGAATGCTGTCAAACCCCAGCTGGATGTGCAGGCTACCAAAAGATTTGACCTTTTACTTGATGGGCAGTTTAAAATCTCAGGAACAGCTTCTAAGATTGGCCGGACTACTGCTTATCACCATTGTACCTTATTATGTAGTACTGATGGAACCTCTTTGTCGTCTGTGCTAAAGAGCCCTTACCAAGGGATCAAGAGCAATGCCACTGCTAGCACACCTGCTGTAGTAAAAAATCTTTTGGAAAAAGATCCCACGCTGACCTGTGATGTACTGATGAATGCTATTGCTGCAGAGTATGCTGCGTGCCATCAGATTGATGGTCACATTAACCTAATAAACCCAACAGATGAGATACAGTTCCCTGGAATAAATAGCAGAGCCAAAGAACTACAAACTTGGGAGTGGATATATGGAAAAACTCCAAAGTTTAGTGTAAACGCTACTTTTAATGTCTTACATGAACAGGCACACTTGGAAATTAAAGTATCCATAGACATAAAGAATGGAAGAATTGAAATATGCAATATTCAAGCACCTGATCATTGGTTACCACTGGAAATTTGTGACAGATTAAATTCAAGTTTTATTGGCAGCAAGTTTTGCCCAATTGAAGCGACTGTGCTGACAAATACATTACTTAAAACATATCCAGAAGACCATGAACTACACAGTAAATGGAGTATTCTCTGTGAAAAAATCAGGGGAATAATGTGACTTCAATTGATGTTTTTATGCTGACAGTTTTGATGGAAAAATAAAAATTTTAAATGCATTGTCTTTTTAAAAAAAAAAATCTAGACTTTTTCAGTAACCTCTTCCCATTTAAAATTGTTTACATAACTTTATACTCTCTACTGACCTCTAGGGTACACATACCTTCTTAATTGTTTTAATACTGGCACACATTTATATTTTAGCTCTTTCTTTTACTGTCTTGGAGACAATATGACAGAATACAGCTTTAGAGTTCTTCATTTTTCATACCCATTGTTAGTCAGGTCTTTTTGTCACGTAACAAACACCTGAGAAAAATAACGGGGAAGAATTTGTTTTGATTCAGTTTCAGAGGTTTCAGTTCATGGTCGGCTGGCTCCTTTGTTTCTGGGGCTTGGGAGACACAGCATCACAATAGAAGGGCATCATAGAGAAGAGCTGCTCACCTCATGGCAGGCAGGAAGCAGGCAGAAGATGCCTGTACCAGCCGGCTTCCTCCTCTTGTGTTCCATCCAGGCCCCCAGGCTGTTGTGTGGTACTGCCCACCCAAACCCATGTCAAGCCTAGCTCCCCCATTATTTAATCCTCTTTGGAAATGCCTTCACAAACACACCCAGAAGCGTGCTTTACTGATCTCCTAGGTATCTCTCAGTGCAGTCAAGCTGGCAGTCAAGATTAACCACGACAGTACCTCCAAGGCTTCTTGACATCCTTGACCGATCCCCTGAATTTGAAAAATCTCCCTTTTAGTTGTATTTTCTTATCTTTCCATCCTCTCCCAATAAATCAAGTCCATTTTACTTCCCTAATCTCTCCTTGTTTCATTTCCTTTCCTACCCTAGCCTGATCATTTCAAGTATACTGTACTTTCCTACCAATTATTCTCATTTGCTCTCTTGACCTATCACAGCCACCTTTAAAAAAATCCAAACAATTGATTTTCATTTCATTTGGGCTGTTGTTGTTTTGGCTTTTTAAAAATTTTATTTATTTGTAGTAGTAGTAGTATAGTAGTAGGGATTGAATTCAGGGCCTTATGCTTGCGAGGCAAGTGCTCTGCCACTTGAGCTACAGCCCCATCTGGGTAGTACTGGGGTTTGAAATCAGGGGCTCACACTCATGAGGCAGGCACTATCAGTTGAGCCACTCCATCAGCCCTTTTTTGTGTTGGATATTTTCAAGATAGGGTCTCTTAAACTATTTGCCCAGGTTGGCATCAAACTTTGATCCTCCTGATCTCTGCCTTCTGAGTAGCTAGGATTACAGGCATGAGTCACTGGCGCCTGGCTCTCCCATCCCTTTTTTCTTTTGCTTTTGAGATAGGTTCTTAGTAACTTTGCCTCGCTGCCCTCCAACTCACATCCTCTTACCTCTGGCTCCCAAGTAGCTAGGATTACAGATTTGTACTGCCACACATGGCTTTGGTTTTGGGATTATTGTTTTTGGTTTTTTATTAGGTAGAGTCTCAGTAAGTGGTCCAGGCTCGGGCCTTTAATTTGTGATCCTCCTGCTTTCACCTCCCAAGTGCTGGGATTACAGATGTGGACCACCATGCCTAGCTTTAATTTCTACTCTATACCCAGATGGCAAAGCAATGCTGGCCAAAAAAAAAAAAAAAATCATACTCATTAGCACAATTTCATATTAAAATTTTCAATTTAACACATCTTTCTCTGTTGGTGTCAGATTCAACTCATCTCTAGTTGACTGTCTCATTCTTGAAGCAACTTATTCCCAAAGGTGTCCACTCTTCTCAAGCTCAAAATTACACTACTTTTGTCACAAACCTTGATTCATAATTTGAGAATTGAGGCCTTCAAAAATGAGCCTCCCCAACCTCCATGTATTTTTCTTGTTTTTATTTTTTTTAATTGGGCGATACTGGGGTTGAAGCATGCCAGGCAGATGCTCTACTACTTGAGCCATGCCCCCAGCCCTTTTTGCTTTAGTTAATTTTCAAATAGGGTCTTGCATGAAAAAATGCTCACCATCTCTAGCAATAAAGGAAATGCAAATTAAAACCACACTAAGATTCCACCTCACCCTTGTTAGAATAGCCATCATTAGCAACACCACCACCAACAGGTGTTGGCGAGGATGCAGGGAAAAAGGAACCCTCTTACACTGTTGGTGGGAATGTAAACTAGCACAACCACTCCGGAAAAAAATTTGGAGGCTACTTAAAAAGCTAAACATTGATCTACCATTTGATCCAGCAATACCACTCTTGGGGATATACCCAAAAGACTGTGACACAGGATACTCCAGAGGCACCTGCACACCCATGTCTATTGCGGCACTATTCACAATAGCCAAGTTATTGAAACAGCCAAGATGCCCCACCACTGATGAATGGATTAAGAAAATGTGGTATCTATACACAATGGAATTGTATGCAGCATGAAGAAAAACGAAATGTTATCATTCGCTGATAAATAGATGGAATTGGAGAACATCATTCTGAGTGAGGTTAGCCTGGCCCAAAAGACCAAAAATTTTATGTTCTCCCTCATATGTGGACATTAGATCAAGGGCAAACACAACAAGGGGACTGAACTTTGATCACAAGACAAAAGCGAGTGCACACAAGGGAGATAATGACGATAGGTAAGACACCTAAAATATTAGCTAGCATTTGTTGTCCTTAACGCAGAGAAACTAAGGCAGATACCTTAAAAGCAACTGAGGCCAATAGGAAAAGGGGACCAGGAACTACAGAAAAGGTTAGATCAAAAATAATTAACCTAGAAGGTAACACCCACGCACAGGAAATCAATGTGAGTCAACTCCCTGTGTAGCTATCCTTATCTCAACTAGCAAAAACCCTTGTTCCTTCCTATTATTGCTTGTACTCTCTCTACAACAAAATTAGAAATAAGGGCAAAATAGTTTCTGCTGGGTATTGAGGGGGTCGGGAGGAGAGGGAGGGGACAGAGTGGGTGGTAAGGGAGGGGATGGGGGCAGGGGGGAGAAATGACCCAAGCCTTGTATGCACATATGAATAATAAAATAATAATAATTAAAAAAAAACGAGCCTCCCCAACCTCCATGTATTTTTGTTGTTTTTATTTTTTTTAATTGGGCGATACTGGAGTTGAAGCATGCCAGGCAGATGCTCTACTACTTGAGCCACGCCCCCAGCCCTTTTTGCTTTAGTTAATTTTCAAATAGGGTCTTGCATTTTTGCTGAAGCTGGTCTTAGACCACACTTCTCTTACTTAAGGCTTCCTGCTGAGATCACAGGAGCACCACTACATCCAGTTTATTGATTGTGGTCTTGAACTGCAATCTCTGCCTCCTGAATAGCTGGAATTACAGGTGTGAACCACCATGCCTGGTGCCATGTTCTTTAACACTTCCTTTCATTTAGTCTCAGAGGAGGAAATGCCTCCCTCTCCTTAAAGCTAGCTCCTATAGCTGTGTGCTGAATTTTGTCCTCTGTGCCTTTGTTTAGTACATGTGCCAACAATTTATATCTTGCATTTCTTTCTCTCTACCTTTACTGGCTCCTAACAATAATGGATAAACATGTTTTCCTTTGTTCCTGCTCAAGATTCTTTTTCTCTTCATCTTTTCATTGCCAAACTTTTTCAAAGAATGACAACCCTGTTGAACATTCCCTGTCTTTACAGTTCTTTCACTAACACATTCTTATTTCTACAGGACTATGTGTTTATTAAGTACCTACCATGTGCAAAGCCCTGTTGGATGTTCATGGTAAGTAAAAACACATAGCTCCTGATCTCAGGAACTGACAGTTTAGTATGTCAGCTTTCAAACACTTTTAAAAACATGGTAAAATGAGTAAAAAATATATTTTATGTTGTATCTTACTATGCCTAATAAGGCATACAATACTTATTTTTCTGATATTCTATATTCCATTTTATTTCACCTTGTAAAAATTGGTCAAGACCTACCTGAGTTTTAAAATCTCTGGCCTAGTAGAAAGAGTAGATGAACAGATCAGTAAATGATTACAAAGTGGGCAAAACTATGATGGAAAAGTTGAGATATTGTAAACAGACAACAATAGAGGCTACAGCGATCAGAAGATGACATTTTTTTTGCTGGTGGAGTGGCTCAAGTGGTAGAGTGCCTACCAAGAAAGCATGAGGCCCTGAGTTCAAATCTCAGTGCAGAAAAAAAAATAGCACCTACCGAGGAAGATGACCTTTTTTTTTTTTTTGCAATTCTGGGATTTGAACTCAGGGCCTTTGCCTTGAGCCACTCCACCAGTGGGCCCTATTTTTGTGATGGGTTTCTTTGAGATAAGGTCTCGAGAACTATTTGCTTGGGCTGGCTTCAAACAGTGATCCTCCTGATCTCTGCCTCCAGAGTAGCTAGGATTATAGGCATTAGCCACCAGTGACCGACAGGAAGACAACATTTTAACAAACCTGAAGAAAGGAGCTATGCAAGTTGAGTTGGGTGGGAGGACAGTGTTCCAGGTTATATTGTTTACCACCATACAACAAACCATTCCAAAACTTGGTGGCTTAAAACAATAGTGATTTTATTCACAAATCTACAGTTAGGGGGATAGCTTATTTAAGTGAACAGCATTTGCTAGAACAGCTTTACTGGGCCAGAAATCCCTGCCTCCAGTATGGCTCACTCAACATAGCTAGCAAATTGGTGCTGGTGGCCTGCTGGAAGCTCAGTTGGGACTGTGGGTTAAAGGTTCCTTTCCACTTGGACTGCCTATATTTTCTCACAGTCTAGTTGCTGGGTCCCAGAACAAGGGACCCAAGAAAGCAGGGGAGAAGCTATTTCCTTTTATGGCCCAGCCTTGGAAGTAATACAGTATCTCTTTAGAAGTCACAAGTACATGCAAATTCAAGGAGAGGGAACATACATACACATCTCTCTATGAAAGGAAGTTCAAAGTCATTATAAAAAGAACTGGAATGAGATTTTATTGCAGCCAGTTTGGGAAAGTATAATTTGCCACACTAAACAGCATATGGAGTTCCGCTCTAAAGCAGGAAAAAAGCTAGGCTTCTTGATGGTATTGAAGGATGTACAGGAAAATAAGTGTGGAAACAAGAGGGAGACTGGGGCAAGATGAAATTGGGTAGGTAGATACCAGATCAGGTAGAGAATGGTAGGCCAGAATACAGTCTGACTTTAAGTATAAGAAGAAGAACGTTTTAATAAAGATTACTCTGCTACTCTGTGGAGAATAGGTTGGAGGGAGGCAAAATTGGAAGCAAACAGTTGGGAGGCCACTTTGAGAGTCCAGGCAAAGATGGTGCTGGCAGTGACTATGGAACAATGTGGACAGTTAGACACTTGTTAAAAATTAGGGCTGGTATGACTCCTGTTTTCAGGGAGTGGCTTAATTTTGCCTAACTTTAAGATACAGAGAGAACTCTTTGAATAAGTTTGTTCATAAAGGAGAATAAAAAAATAGGGCAGCATCTAGCTAGTGATGTGTGTGTTTGTTAGAAAGATCAATGAAGTGAGAGAGATTGCTCTAAGGAGCAAGTTCTCAGGGAGACTAAAAGGCAGTCAGATCAAGCTTACTTCTGAAAACTAGGATGTCTTCCTTACGTAATTAGGAACATTAACCCTTTTTTCTACATGGTAAATTTGATCTTTCATATGTTTTTAAACTTTAATGGTTCCTTTTACTTAACTTTTAAATATTTACATGACACATATTTTGCTCTTTCCTTTTCCTCCTGGGGTTTGTGTAATGCTTATACATTTAGTAGGGACTTTTAAAAAATACCTGGATTTTCCATTTGATTAGCTCTTTCACCCATTTAGGATTATTTCTTTGTTATTTTTTTCAGCCATTTATTTGAATGTCCACTTTTTCCTAGAGAATTATTTTTATTAAAGTAAAATTTATGTAACAAAATTTATCATTTTTATCATTTAAAAGTGGCTTTTAATACATTCACACTGTTTTTGCAACCATAACAAGTATATAATTTCAAGACATTTTCATCACCCTCAGAAGAAACCTTCATCCAATTAGAGTCATCTCCATCCCTCCTCCCCCAGCAGCTAGAAACCAGTCATTTATTTTCTGTTTCTAAGAATTCTCCTTTTCTGGGAATATCTACTTACACTAAATTGAAATGACACCTTTATTATATACTAAATTCCCATATACATACATTCACTTTATGTCTGAGTTCTTTATTGTATCCCACTGATTTATTTGCCTATTCCTGTGCCCATATGGTTTAAAATCATCGTGGTTACATGTCTTTACGGCTAGTCAAGCAAGTCTCCTAGTGTTAGTCTCCTTTGTCATATAATTTATAAGTTAATTTAGGAAGAACTCACATTATCTTCTATTCAGGAGCATAATTTGCCTTTCCAGTTACTCTAGTTTTTTTAAACAGCCTTCCATAAAGCTTATAGTTTTCATATAGTTTTTGTTCATTTTTTTGATATATTTAAACTTATAGTTGGTATCCTTCTGATGTTTTAATTTGATCTGGGGACTACTAAATCTAGAATAATGGAGAGCATATATGTAGACTATGTTTCTTAAACATCATTATCTCTTAGCCAGGAATTTGGGTGTGTATGTGTGTGACTGAACATAAAAGGTAAAGCATAAACCTCGGGTCCAAGACTGCACTCTATCCACCCTTGTTCCCATGGTCACTACCTGCCTTTGGTCTTCCAGTTTAACTCAATTTGAATATCCTGTAGATGTCTATGTGTGCACTCCCCAATACTGAATACTTCAGTTTTCCTCCTATAGGCTGGCTTAGCTTGTGGGTTAAGCTTGTAGATGGCCTCTACATTGCCTCTACAATGAGGCAATCTCCTCTTCGAGCCTGTCTCCATGGAACCTAATCCCCAACAACTTTACATTCACCTGGATGAGCTTACCCACAATAGTTGATTCAAAGGTATAAGGCTTTATAAATATGTTAGCTAAACTGAATGAGCAAAATGCATTAGAGTAACTAAATGAATTGATTTGCCTGAAATTATCTTACCTGTAACAAAACTAACACTACTCCAGTTTGTTTGTGGTGCTGGGGGTCAAATCCACTGCATTGCACATGCTAAATGTATGCTCTACCACTAAGCCACATGCCAGCCATACTTTACTTTTTTTTTTTTTCCTGGTTATTAGTCCCACCAAGCTTATCTGTCTCTTAAATGTACTATGATTTTCTTCTCAGGACTCTATAATTTCCAAAGACAAAATTAACATCCAATTCATCATACTAGATGTTCATCTCTGACAAATTCTCCAACAGTCAAATAGAGAGAAGCTGGCAAAATCTTTGTATTAGCTAAACAACTTTAAAAGAAGCATCATTTCAATTCAACTGAATAACTTATTTACAAAAGTATATATGGATGTTCACACAACTGAACAACGGATCCAAAAATTAGTAAAAATGTAAAAATTTATTGTTAAATTCATACATTATAAAAATATGTTCAAGGTTAAAAAAAAAATTCAGTATTCACTTGGTAAAATTTGAATGTGTCACCAAAAGTTCTTATGTTGGAATCTTGGTCCCCAATACAGCAGTCATGAGAGGTGGGACTTCTGAAAGGTGACTGGCTCTGCCTCCCAGGCTTTGTTATAGAAGCAAGCTCTCTCTGGCAAGCTTGCTGTCTTCCCATGTGACGCCCTCTGCCATGTTATCATGCAGAAAGATCCTCAGCAGATGCCAACACCATGCTCTTAGACTTCCCAGCCTCCAAAAACAAAGGCTAAGTAAGTGTCTATTCTTTATAAGTTACCCAGTGTGTGATATTCAGTTATAGCAACAGAAAATGGACTAAGGCATCACTTAAAATAGAAATATACAATATGAATTAAGCTACTACCCATCATATTTTTTTTGTGTGTTTGTTATGAAAAATGTCCACTGTTGTTTCATGACACGGTCTTAAATCAAAATCACAATATCCAAGGGAAAAACGACTCTAGGAAGAAAGGAAAAGAACACTGTCAAAAAAATGACACAAGGCGACACATACCAAGTCTGTAATCCTAGCTATTCAGTGGAGATCAGGAGGACTGCAGTTCAAGGTCAACCTTGGCAAAAATTTCATGCCAGCCCCCATCTCAACTTATGGCTGGGAGCAGTGGCACTTGCCTGACATCCCAGCTACATGGGAAGCACAAATAGGAGGATCATAGTCCAGGCCATCCAGGACTTAAACCAAACACCCTATCTCAAAAATAACCAATGCAAAAATGGATAGGGGTGTGATTCAAGTGGTAGAATGCCTGCCTAACAAGCACAAGGCCCTAAATTCAAACCTGAGTACCACCAAAAAAAAAAAAAAAGAAGACAAAAATAAGGATCACTTGAGCCCAGGAGTTCATTACACAAAACAAAACAAAAACCCCATAAAACCCAGTGCTACACACTTAACTCATAAAATTATATCCTACCTGTGGTTTCTTAAAATAGTCAAGTCCCCTTCCAATTTTAATCATCCATCCATTGCTGAGCCTGTTGAAGTTAGTATACAGTATTATATTCAAGATGTTTAAGTCAGACAATTATTAAAGCTGTAGTGGGTTAAGCAGCAGCAAAATTTTCCCTTAACAAAGAAAACCACTTCCTCCAGTGGCATGAATCAAATCAAACCTGGGGTTAATCACGGGCTGTGTGTCTACAATGAACAAAAGGGCCACAGACACAATCAGCTGCCTTGATCAGCTGGTGAGGAGTTTAACAAACTGAAACTTACTCTTAAATTTCAGCTTGTTGATGAAACTTTCCTGTTATGCTAAAAAAAAAAAAAAACTTACAAAGTATATTTAGGGAGACTGTGGTGGTTTTTTAAGGGTTCTCCTACCTAGAGATGGGAACATGAGAGGGAGGAGTCCTGAACCCTGACCTCTGTTTCAGCAGCAGCTGACGGTTTAGGTTTTGCTTAAGTTTTCATTTAAAATGAAGGCTCCATTACTACAATCATGTGAAAATCACTGTCCTACAGGGAAGATACCATTAAGATAAGTGAATAAAATAGTTTCTGATTGACGCAGCCTACTGTCATGTCTACCAAAACATGTTCTTACCCACAGGAAATAAAACCACATTAAATAAGTATTAATATCACTAGAAGAAAGAATAATTTCAACATCACAACACTATATAGTATGCAGAAAAGTACTTCTTCTTCCCACATGACAAAGAACATATAAATTATTTTCCATTAGGAAATAATGAAACTCATAAGACACAGTAAGCTATATTTTTTTTCTCAAAAGTAAAAAGTTGCTAAAATTGAGCTTTATTTGAATTTTTAATATTTAAATATGATAGTTATATGTAATTTTATGACATTTCTGAAGAAAAATTTAACTATATTTATATTTATATAGTTACATTTCAACTACATAAAAATTGAAATATTATTGGACACTAACCTAATTTCTCGGTCATGAATTGAAGAAGAATATTCTACTTCCAACAGCACTCCGTGACTCTTGAGTGATTCTTTTATTTCATCCAAGCCACTTCTTTGTTCTCTCCCACTCCCCTGTCAATGGCAAAAATATAACTTATTGTCTATTATTAAATTAGGCTGGGCACAGTAGCTTTAGCCTGTAATCCTAGTTACTTGGGAGGTAGGAGAATAGCGGTTCAAGGTGGGCAAAAAGATCCTGACACTTCCATCTCAACCAGTGGTTGGGTGTGGTGGTATGCACCTGTCATCCCAGCTATATGGGAAAGCACAAATAGGATTGTGGTCCAGACTGACCCAAGCACAAAGCCAGACCCTATCTCAAAAATAACACAAAATTAAGACTGGTGTATTGGCTCAAAGTGATACAGCACTTGCCTAGCAAGTGAGAAGACCTGAGTTCAACCCCAAGTACCACCAAAAATATTTTTATAATTATCCCTAAACTATGTAATCAATATTATAAAGAAAAGGTTTTTTACTAGTTTCAATGTCTCATCTCAAAAAATCAACCCAAGATTGATATATAGTTTAAAGAGCAATTATTTTTGAAAAAGTAATTGTTTTTCTAACATGAATATAACATAATTCCATTCTGTCTCCTTAAATGTATTTTATTTTATTTATTTATTTAGAGACAAGGTTTCTCGCTATGTAGCTAGGCTGACCTTGAACTCTCAATCCTCCTACCTGTTCCTCTGGAGTACTGGGATAATAGGTGTGCCCTCATGCCCAGAACCTTTAAATGTATTTTAGTATATTATGCTAGTAATCCCAGATATGATTGGTAAACAGCCAAAACTGTCAATTGTGCACACATCATGATCAACAACATCCAAGAGACTAAACTGACAAACCATCTGAATAGTTTAACAAAATGACCAAATACAAGGTCAACATAGTGAAATGAATAGCATTTTTCTCAAGATGGATTACGCTTATTATTAGATAACAAGTTAATTCCCAAGGAAATAGATCTAAATAAAACATTGCATCCAGGTTTTCTTCAATCAGACTATATCTTGTAACTGAATAAGTTACAATACATCAATAAGGAAGAGTAAGTTCTTTCAGATACCTACTTCATCCAGAGAGGTAAGAAGGTGAATAGTTTTTACTTTACACGGGTTCTTAACAAGCATCTCACAAAATCGAAGGAAGTTATATAGCTGAAAGACATTAGGATGAGTTATTACTAACTCACAGTCATCCGCCTGTGTACATAGGGCATTGATTCCAGGACCCCTACCCAAGATACTAAAATCCACATATGCTCAAATTCTACATAACATGGTGCAGTTTTGCATAGAACCTACAAATAGCTCCCAAATACTTTAAATCATCTCTAGATTACTTATACTATCTAATACAATGTAAATGCTATGAAGACAGCTGCAATACCGTGTTGTATTGGGAATAATGACAAGAAAAAGGTCTTTATATCTTCAGTATAAGATATAATTTTTTAAAAAATATTTTTGATCCTCAATTGAATCTGTGAATGTGGAACCTGTAAACAGAGTTGACTGTACATTTAAAGTAATATCTCATACGTTTTGGTACATTTTACTTACCTGATGAATCTGTCTAATATAAGGATCTTCTATCCAAACTTCTGTAACTGTCTCATTAAAGTATTCTTTAAAAAGTGACTCATAACTAAAACCTGTTGCATTCTCTTCTATTTTAATTTGCTTGTGGTATTTTCCTTCTGCAAGACACAAATTTCAGGACCATAACCAGTGACCACTTTCTTTTTGCACATTTTATATTTTGTATATAGTGATTAATCAGAATCAGTTACAAGTTAATTTTTTAAACTTACTCAGTAAATATCTATCAAATACCTACTTTATACCATGCACATTGCAAAATGATATACATACAGAGGTAAGGAAAAAAAAAAAGATACTCCATGAGTGCTTTCTGTCTTCATGGAAGCCAGACAATGGGAAAGGCCAGAGGTTTCTGAGCTGGATCCTACAGACCAGGCAATTTATTCAAGAAAGGACTGTATGAGCACTGGTGGCTCATGCCTATGTTCCTAACTACTTGGGAGCTGAGATTGGAAGAACTGTAGTAAGAGGCCAGCCCAGGCAAACAGTTTGAGAGACCCTCTCTCCAAAATAGCCAGAGCAAAATGGATTGGAGTTGTGGCTCAAGTGGAGAGCACCTGCTTTGCAAGTGCAAAGCCCTGAATTCAAACTTCAGTCCCACCAAAGAGAGAGAGAGAGAGAGAGAGAGAGAGAGAGAGAGAGAAACTGTATATGCAAAGGTATCTTGATAAGTTCCTATCACCATGGTAGAACCACAAGCTGCAACTCAGCAGTATCTGGTCTTTCTCATCAGATCTGTCTTTTTATATCTGAAAATCTAACAGCTAAATTGAGCATTAAGCAAAAACACAATATAATAGAGACTTTAGAAATTTTCTTAGCACTTAAAAGAATGCTCTTTCTAATTGTTTTTGGTGCTAAGACTTGAACTCAGGGCCTCGCACACGCTAAGCATGTTACAGAGCATTTTAAGCAAAACTTTATATTAGTATTTAACCCAAGCTAACCACCTGGGATTTTCACAGGACCAACAGAATAGTTCCACTTGTTTTGTTAATTCAAAATGAATAGTTACTGAATAAGTTATCAGAGATTTTTTTGGTTCTTAGAAAATACGATCCCTAATGGTAGTTCCTATAATGTATTACATTCTGTTTAAGAATCTGTGGTTGGCTCCTCTTCAGGGGATGGTGTCTTGGGGTACTCAGAATGGTCCAGTGTTTGACATACCATAATATTATGGCTTTCCTACAGTAGAGTCTCTAATAAAACTAGGTTGTCCCCAAACCTGGAAATAGAATTGTTTACTTTTATGCCCAGAAGGTTGGGACAGCATCAAAATATGCACATGGGATGTACCCAGCAGACTTCAGTATGTTTATGCTATGAAGTTGTCTAAAAATGAAAAACCATGTCAGCTGGGCCTAAGTTGGTACCATATGCGCTCAATGTGTCTCTGACAAAATCATGTGTGCTTACCTGATCAAGGAGCAAAAAAATTGTGAAAGTGCTAAAGGCATAAGCACAGAATCAGAAAGCTAAATTTAAAAATGAAGCTTTTTGAGTAAACACACACAGAGGTTTGGATTCTGTTACAAATACTCCCATAGAGATACTATTCCCAACTAGGCATCAGTTTTCAAATCAAGCTAGCCATACAGGTTAATATAACTGTGTACTCAAACTACCATGCAATATTTCAGTGTTTCAGGACAACTTTCATTCTAGATTTCAACTTGGAATGAAGGAAGTACAATTTTATTTCCACTCAACAGAGAAGTCAGTAGCGGTGTACCTGGGACATGGTCAGTACAGAATACTAAAAAAGGTGGAGAGCTGGCCTGTTGTAAGGACAGAAAGGAAGAACAGCTGAGACCTGGGGCCCTGGTTTTGGAGGGCAGCAGTATGAAAGCAGCAGCAGTGTATACTTCAGATGAGAGTGTCAATGCCCATTTGAATAAATGTCTGTAAACTGCATGCTTATGGGCAGGGAAATGATAATAAATAGGGAAGAATATCTACCTCACCTCCAATCATTAGCAATACTTAATCCTCAAAATGCTTTGATATACAACAAAATTTGAGAGAAGTCCCAGGAGTTTCTTTAACGACTATAATGACTGTATTCCCTTCATAAAGGGAACTAAAAAATACAATACAGAATCCACGTTCAGTATTCCTCTGTGGTAGTTCTTAAACTGGGGTCCACATGTAAGGTTCATGGGATCTGCAAATTCTTTAAAAGTGACAAAGTTCTGCAGTATGTATAGCTTTCATCAGATGCTCAAAAAAAAAAAAAAAAGTTAAGGACATGTAGAAGAAATCTGTAAGCTCTCAGGTACAAATGGTTGAGACCACACAGAGCTCCAAAAGACAGGAGCCAGAAATACTGAGGGAATGCACTGTGTCACAGTAGCTATGGAGCTATGGGTACATTTTCTTTCTACTATTCCGCCCCCCCCAATACACACGCACCTTTTTTTCTCATGTGTGTGTGTGTGTGTGTTTTACTTTGGATCGAACCTGGGGCCTTGAGCATGATAGGCAAGCACCCAACTATTGACTATATTCCCAGGCCTGGACACATCTTCTAAAACATTCCTTTACCTTCTTTTTCTTGATCCAAGCATTTCTTTATGTTTTCTGCTCTAGTCATATAGTCAGAAATTGTTTCTCTGAGTCTGTGTTTCTTAGTATCATCTTTGGTGCCTAAAATAAAAAAAATATTCTCAAGTTTCAAAATAGTTTTTCCACTTAGTTCAAGCATATTTCCAGTTTCAAGTTTTCCACACATCCTACCCTTTAGAGGGGGGTGCCTCAATCCCAAAAGTACACATATGTTAAGCTCAAATCTGGCTTGACAGGACATTCAAGCTCAAACTAAGCATCTGAAGCAGACTGGCTTAGGAATGGGGGCTCTGACACGGTCTCACCTCTGGGACACCAAAGCTGGCAGAGTGAGAAAGCTGGCTTTCTACCTGCCAAACCTGCGTCTCAATAGTCTTTTGTCCTAATTACCCACACCTATTTGAAACTTTAGCATTACTAAACAACAGCAAAGACTGTCCTATAAAACCAGTTTCTTGTTCAGACATCCCCATTATAGCTAATGCCCACTTTCCAGCCACTACCAACAAAATATTTCTCAATATACACTACCAACCAAATCTTGCTAGGCATCCACAATCACTCTGATTCCCTCCCTCCTTTCCTTTCCTTCTATCTTCCACAATAATTTCATTTTTTTAACTTCTCCTTTTTTTAATATTTTATTTTTTGTGTGCATGTGGTGCTAGAGATTGAACCCAGAACCTCATGCATATTAAGCATGCAATCTACCACTGAGCTACATCCCCCTCCTTCTGATTTAATTCATATTTCAGAACCATTATGAAACTACTAGAGCTAGGCAACTGACCTTGGTAAACAATATTCAGCTGCAAACCTTATTTGAATTTCACTAATTTTCCCTTTCAAGAAAGTTTTTCTGGTCCAGAATCCCACATTATACTTCCTACGTCTCCTTAGTCTCCTCCAGTGTACAGTTCCTTAGTTTTTCTCTTTTTTTTTTTTGAGTGGTACTGGGGTTTGAATGCAGGGCCTCATGCTTACTAGGCAGGTGTTCCACCCCTTGAGCCACTCTACCAGCCCTTTTCTCCACCTTTTTTGACTTTGATATTTAGGAAAAATGTTGGCCATTATTTTGTAGAATGTCTCTTATTTTGGGCTGATGTTTTCTTATGATTAAATAGGTCATGCCTTTTGGACAAGAAAATCAGAGGTAACATGCGTTTCTCAGGGGATACATGATGTCGATGTGTCTTATTACCAATATCTATTTATATATATCAATAATTTTTGAGGCAGGTTCTTGCTGTGTATCCCAGGCTGACCTCAAACCAGAGCTCCTCCTGCCACAGCCTCCCAAGTGCTGGGATTATAGTGGGTACTACCATGTCCAGCAATTACTGAAGATATTAATTTTGAAGATTTCTCCACTGTAAAAGTACTGTTTTCCTTTATAATTCACAAATACAGGAAGATATCTTATTTTTCCTCATTCTTTTTCCCATTAATTTTAGCATTCATTGATGGTCCTTACCTACAACAATTGACTGATGTTTGCAAGATGGTAATTTTCTATTTACTTCATTTCTCCTTAATCTATTTATATGTTCAATTATTTATTTATATCAGTATAAAGTTGAGGATATTTATTTTATTTTATGGGCTATAATCCAATAGTATTTGAACTATATTCCCCTGTTCAAATTTTATAAGCTTTGGCTTTGATACCTTCATCACATTGTTCCCAGGTTCCTCAAACATGCACCTATCAGTTTTTTAAACTTCCTTACTTTTTGACACAAGATATCATAAACTCATCTTGTATATTTCATGCCCCAGCCTTGCAAACAACTACTTTCCCAAGGACTCCTGTTTCCTTTTATTGAGAAATGGTTTTGAGAAACCAAGTTCTGGGAGCCAGGTGCACTCACTCCCACCATACATCTAGACCTTCTCAGCTGACACAGCTAGGAAGTATAGGCAAGTTTATTAACATACACATGTCTACACTTATTTCTGCTTCTATTCATTCTGCATATGTATTTTAGAACATAACTTTATGTTGATAACTTAGACTCCATAAGGTTTATTCTAGCCTTCCCCCTTTCTTTGTAACTTTATTACTCACAAGACAGTTACTTGTTTAATCCTAGGATACACAAACAGTTGTTTCAGAACTCCTAGCCCTATAGGAAAAACAAATTTACCAACTAGAATATGTTTTATTTTACTTCACTTTATTATTTATTTTATAGTACTGGGGTTTGAACTCAGGGCCTTGTGCCTGCTACGCAAGTGCTGTACCACTTGAGCCAGTCCTCTAGTCCTTTTTGCTTTGGGGTCATTTTTCAGATAGTCTCACATTTATGCCCAGGCCAGCCTGGGACCAACATTTTCCTGCCTACACTTCCTGCACAGCTGGGATTACTGGCATGCACCACCATGACCAGCTTATTTTGAGATGAGTTCTTGGTAACTTTTTTGCCCAGGCTGGCCTCAAATTGTGATCCTCTCAATCTCTGCTTCCCAAGTAGCTGGGATGAGCTGCCACGCCTGGCAATTGGAATATAATATTTGTATACTATTCATTTGGTTGTAATCTTACAAAATAGTCAAAATACTATATTCCAAAGATACTTGGGTTATCTATTTTCTTCCCCATCTTTATGTACAATGGAGAAGTATCACTCACTCCTTATCCTGCCACCCATTCCTAATTTTCCCTTCTTCCTACCCACCCCACTTTAGGGAATCTCATTAGTTTCTGGTTTTATCCTTCTTGTACTTCTTCTGAATAAATAAATACCATCTTATAACTTCTCTTTTGCAGGAAGGATAGCATGCTTGCTATGGTTTGGATAGGGTTTAAGTATGTCCTCCAAATGTGTTTGAAGCTTGGTCCCCAAGTGGTGGAACCCTTTAAGGAGTGGAGCACTGCGGAAGGTCACTGGGGGACCTGCCCTTAGAAGGGATTAATGTAATTCTCATGGGAGCTAGTTAATTCCCACAAGAAGAGTTGTTATAAAAGAGCTGGGCTATTCCCGTCCAGCTTTCTGGTGTCCTGTCTCGGGATGTGCTCTAATCTCATATGTGCCACTGCCACTGTGATGCCGTACACCATGACATGAGGCAACCAGAGAAGCCCTTGCCAGGGCTGACAGCATGCTGTTTGGACTTTTAGCCTCCAAAACTGTGAGCTAGATAAACTTCTTTCTTCACAAACTACTCAGCTTTAGGTATTCTGTTACAGTAATGAAAACCTGACTAATACAGTGCTACATATAGATAGTCTTTATCCTTTGTAGTTTTTACCTGACAATATATCCTGGAAATCATTCCAGATCAGTTCATAAAGATCTCCCTTATTCTTCTTTTTTAACAGCAGCATAGTACTTCATTGTGCAGATATACCATAGTTTATTCAACCCCTCTCCTATCACGGCATTTAGGTCATTTCCAACATTTTATTGATTTCAACATAATTGTTCAAGTCTTTCCCATTCAAGTCCTTTTATTGCTAAGATTATTAACACTTAAACCCCTAAGTTTCTCTTGCCTATGACAACAACATAAAAAATTCTAATATATCCATAAATCTCTTATGAGGAATCCTATTTGCTCTTCCCAAGATGAGATGAGATCTCACACTTTTCTAGTAGGTTGATACATGTTCCTCTAAACACAAAAACTGAGAACTATCCTGTTCTTTTGTCACAATTAGACATTTTATATCTTTACAAAGAGATAGTACAAATAGTGATTAACAGCAAAGGGTCTAGGAGTCAGACTGTTTTAGTTCAAAACCTACTGTGCCACTTTGGCTGTGTGACCTTGGCCAGTTATTTAGCCTCTCTGTAATTTTACCTGTAACATGGAAACAGTTAATACTATTTTAGAGAGCTGTTGCGATGACTAATTGTAAAAGAGCTTGGCATACAAGAAATACTCAACAAATGGCTGCCAACATCATTATCACTACATGATGCTTTCCTGGTACCTCACTCTGAACTGCCTTAAGAACCACACTTTATTGGACATCTCTTAAATTCCCATTTGCTACTGCCTCTAAACATGCTCCGTTTTCCCCATCCTTTTCCTGCCAAAACAAAACATAAAACAACCTTTCCTCAAATTCGCTATGCTTTTAAACTTTGAGTTTCTTTCTCTCTTATCTTTATTAACAGCCTCCTTGGAAACATAGCTTACTTTTGCCCAATTAAACTACTTGCAGCTTGGTCTTTAGAAATGAAAAGTTTCTAAACCATCTTAAAGCTAAGTTCACCAATAATTTCTACTCTATAAATATAGCAGTCCTTTCTCTGTCATTGTTCTTGATTAGCGACAGACCCATCCTTCAACTATCATGCCATGGTTTTCCAGGCTTGAAACCTTATAGACATCTTTGATTTCCACTGCAACCTCACCCCTATGTCCAATCATGTGATAACAACAGTAATTCAAGATCTGTACTATCCTTTCCTTCTACTAATATTGGTTTCATTCCCTGGTTCATTCTGGTCCTTATCACCTCATATGGATTATTGCACAAGCTCCTTGCTTGGTCTGCTGGACTTGAGTCTCTTCAGAGTACTGTCTATTACGTACCCATACTATATTCAGTCATTTATTCAAGAAACAGTGAGAACTTATTACATGCCAAGTATTGTAAGCATTGTGGACACAGCAGACAATGAAACAAATACAACTTTCCCCATCATTTAAACGGGAGGAAAGGCACTATAAAAATAAATTGGTAAAACATACATATTAGATTGTGATAAGTGCTATTAAGTAAATAAAAGGGACAGGGAGTGCTGGGATAGGGTTGTAATTTTACACTGGAGGGCAGGGAATCTTCACAAAGGTGATTATTTGTGTGAAGACCTGAAGGAGGAGAGGGAGTATGCCATCAAAGTATATGAGAGAAGCATATTCCTATGACAGGCAAGTCCTGAAATGCAACTCTAATAATGTTATTCCTTTGTGAAAATCTTAAATGTTTTCTCCTTGTCTACAGAACAAGTTAAATCACTTGGCAGTCAAGGCCATCCACATTGTGACCCAAGCCCAGTCTATCTTTACTTCTCATCCTTCTTCATACATATGCTGATCCAAACTGAACTACTTAATGATAAAACAGCACAAATAGAATTTGACTATTACTTTTATTACAATTAGTTCTTAGAATGTGAATGCTCTGATCTGAATTTCTGATTTCTGAAATTTTTATCCTCCAAAGCTTCAAACATGACCTTTAACCTTTCCAATCCTCATTGTACTTGTCTATATGTCTCCCCTGATACTTTGTATTAGCGTTATTTGCATTTTGAATCTTAACCTGTCAGTCATGTCACAGTTTGTGTAACCTCCACAGATCAATGAAACACACAGAAGCAGAACTCCTGTCATTCTCCTGCTTCAGATTCCTTCGGCAGCCAGTAGTTGAGCAGTGTTCCACCTGACCAACACTCACAATCCCTCTTTGAAATCCCCAGGCACTGGGGCCTTGGGCTGCAGCTGTGGCTTTTACCAGTGGTAGAACTTGAAAACTAACTACTCTTCTACACTGTAAAATTAAAATTCCAACAACTCCTGCTTGAGAGAATAATTGTAAAGATAAGCAAGATCACACTTTTAATGTGCTCTGCACAGTACATGCACTCAGCATTCATAAATGATAGTTACATGCTGTCATTATCAAATGGGCTCTATCCAATCTGGAGTTTATAGTTCTGAGAAAAGCACCACACTGTGCCCTCTGCTGTCTCAAAGTGTTTGGCCGGTGGGCAGCCACCCCATGGTGATCAGGGACTCTGCTCACTTTCCACTCCATCCCCTCCTTCCCTTCATGATTACCATGGCAACTCCTGCTGGCAGGCAATGGGTCCTGACCCATATTACCCCGAGCTCCTCCCCACCAAACCTCGACCTATCCTGATGCCCCATAATACCTTAAGCTCTTGACTTCACCCAGGATATAAAAACTGGGCTGCCATTTCTCCGGTGCGACTTCTCCGGCCCTGCTCTTTGGGGACGGTGAACCTCCCCCGAAAGCGCGCTCTCAATAAAGCCTGCTTAAAGCCTGCTTGCTTTATTATTTGGCTCCAATTTGGCCTTCCCATCAGCGTCGACCTAACACAAAGCTCCTGTAACACTTAAATTATAACAAGCTTCAAGTAGAAAGCAAAGAGGAAGAGATCTTTAGGCCAATAAGAGAGCTCTTGGATCAGGAAGGAGGGACTGGTCTTAATCAACTTACAACATAATTATTGGGTGTCTACTATGAGCCAGGCGATGTGCTGAGTAATAGAGGATATTTGAGGGTGTTACGGTTTGATTATGAGGTGTTCTCCTCCATTCCCCAAAAAAGGCTCATCAGCTGGTTTGATCAGTTGATGAGGGCTCTGACTAATCAATGAATTGATCCATTTACAGATTCGTAATTTGATGACATTATTGGGAGTCAGTGGAAACTTTCCGAGGGGTGGGGGTCTAGTTGGAAGAAGTAGGTTACTTGAGGGAGGGTGTGCCCTTGGGGGGCTATATCTTGTCTGTGGCTGCTCTCTGGCTCTCTGCTTCCTGGCTGCCACGACTCCTGCTACTAAATGAGCAGTAGTGCCCCACCCTGCTCAGCCATGGAATCTGCCTCTCCTCAAGACCAAAGTAAAGGAGTCTGCCAGTCATGGGCTGAAACCTCTGAAACTGAACCAAAGTAAATCTTTTCACCTTTTGATAGTTTCTCTCAGGTATTTTTGCCATATTGAGAGAAGGCTATCACAGGGTACTTCTCAACACTGAATGCCTAAATTAATATGGAAAGTCTCAAATTTCCTATTCACAATCCTGCATATTTCTCACACTGAGTTTCAGTATCAGTTTAAGAAAAAGCTTTTTTCATCTACCCGTTTTGCTTTTGTTTCCTTTTCATGACAGTGCTTAAACAGAAATGGTTAACAGTATAATGAACACCCTTATTATCCATCATCTAAAAATTAGCATTTTTGCCTATGTGCTTCAAAAGGCCTTTTTTTTTTTTTTTTTGCTTAAGTAAAATTAAATTACAGACAACACGACATCTCTTTCCAAAAACACTTCAGATTGCATCTCTAAAAATTAAGGGTGTTTTATGGAAGGAAAAAAAAAAAACACTTGGCTAACAAAATCATTTTACTTCACCCAACCCACAATTTAAATCTTCGCAATTGATCCAAAACTGTCTTTTAAACCCAAGTCCTCTCTATCAAGGCTTATATATTATATTTGGTTATATCACGTAAGGCTTTTTACATCTAGAATAGTAGTCCTCCCTTTCATCCAGCCCAGCTGTCCTGCAGAATATCCCATTTTCTGTATCTATTTCCCGGGGATGTGGAAGAACCGCTTTTAAGTTTCGCTTTCCCCAGAAACACAAGAGGAAACCAGATCCTTTTCCTTCGGTCCTCGCCTCCATGGCTCATCGCTCACCTTTCATAATCTTCATGAGCATGTCAAGCCCCTCTTGGTAACACGCCAGGGCCTGCTGATACCTGGACTCTGTTTCTAGTTCCAATGCCCGCTTTAGCACAACGAATGCAGCCTTCGTCTCCACGTCCTTCTCCGGGCCGCACTTCGCCATAATTGTGAAATTTAGCCTCCGCCTCCAACCCAGCAAAAAATGGGCGGGCCTACTGCGCTTCCGGGTGGTGACACGTCACACCCGTGCGCCTGCGCGCTCTTCCTTTGTCGCTCTGTGAGTCGCGGTGTTGGCCGGAACTAAAGTGGCCTTCCTCGGAACTGCGACGGCGGAGTTTGAGTGTTGCACCTCGAAGTCCTCTTTCTGCTCCCTGGGTCGGGGAGTTAATGCGGGGCGTTTAGCTGGCGCCGGTGAGTGGGGGAAGTGAATTGCTGAACGGATCGCGGTGTGTATCAGGGAGCCCTCTGAAAATGCTGGTTGATTTTTCCCTGTCCCATTTTCAGTTGGCGGGCCTGTGTGGGGTTTGTCGCGTCGGGCTTCCGAAAAGCCCTTGACGGCCGGATCGTGTTTCCTCGTTCTAGGGGTCCCAGACCGCGCCGCTTGCTGAACACTGACTCCTGGAGCGGTGTCGCCGAAGGCCGACAGCCTGGGACTGGGAATTCTCGTTTGCTTTCAACATTTTCTTCTGCTCTATTCGTAACTTAGGACTCGCATGGAGATCAATGTAACTTAATTTTTTAAGCGAAGACAGAATTGCCTTATTTTTAAATTTCTGCATATTAGAAATATGCAGAGTTGGCTATTGAAATATTTGCCAGTTGCTAAAAGCTAATTTGCAACCTTGTTTTGGCCGTCACTTGCCCAAAGCTGTTTCTGCCTTTCTGGCCAAGAGGCAGTTAGGGCTGCGTACTACTTGTTAGGCACTAGGACTTCAAAGAAGAGAGAGACATTTCTTGTCTTCCGAGAACTCGCTTTATTGCATGGGAAATTCTGTGTTCTGCATTTTAATGTATTGTCTCTACAAAAAGAAATCGCTTTTTTTTTTTTTTTTTTTTTTTGCGCGGCACTAGGGAGTTGAATTCTTGGCCTCGGGATTGCTATGCAGGCGCTGTACAAGAAATCACGGCATGGTCATTGTTTAAAAAAAAAAAAACCTATCAGAAATTACAAGGGGGTTGAAAGAAAAGTCGCCTTTGTAGCCTGCCCCGACAGGAGTGTAACGATTTTTAACGACCTTCCAGAATATTTCTGTGTAAACATAGACATTTTAAAAAATAGAAATGGGACCGGGCATGGTAGACATCTTTAATCCGTTATTCGGGAAGCAAAGACCAGGAGGATCCCTCTGCAAAGATGGGTGGGAACAATGTTAAGACCTTAGGCGAAAAATAACTAAAGCATTTTGAAAGGGATGGGGGTGTGGCTCAAGTGGTAGAACGCCAGCTAGCAAGGCCCTGAGCGCTCAACCTTGGGGTTGGGGGAGAGTAGAGAAGAAGAAAGAAAAGAAATGGAGTCATACTTCTCATTTGATGCATGGTACTTTCCAGTTTTTGCACCTGTACAAGACAAAAGTTATATCACTTCTCAGCCTTTTGGCTAAGATCAAGTGGAGAAAAGTTATTGTACAGAAGGAGAGAGCATAATTGTTTTAAGGTCCAAGGATTGTGTGCTTAATAAGAATAACCTCTCTTTTATTAAGATGTAACTTTTGGAGCTGGGGGTGCAGCTCAGTGCTAGAGTACTTATACCTAGCATGCGTGAGACCCTAGGTTCTATCACCAGCCCTGAAAAACAAAAAAGCAGTAACTTTTGACTTGCACCTTCTGATGTCTGTAAATTAAACTTCATTCAGCAAAAATATGAGTGCCTACTATGGGACACATGGTGCTTTAGAAAGATGATTGGGATAAATCTGTGAATATAACATCCCAAACAATATTTAACAATCCTTGTCCTGCTCTGAGTAGAGACAGACACTGAACAAGTGCCATAGGGGAAAAATCAAGTAGAATAAGAGGGATTGGGGTGCTAGCAATTCTGTGAGTGAAATTGTTAAATAATGTGATTGGGGTAGACCTCATTGACATGAGATTTGAGCCAAAAAATGAAAGATAAAGGGAATTGTCATGTCAGGATCATCCCATCCAAAGGGAGTATGCTTGCTGAACTGGTCCCAGGTCAAGCAAGGGGGCCAGTTTTTCTAGTGATGAAGCAAAGGAGTGATTGGAGTTAAAGTCACAGAGGTGGAGTAGGGGAGCAGGGAGAAAAATGGGTGGGGAAGGTTGACAGTGAAGTGCAAGGGAATGGGGTGTGGGGGGTTAAGGACTTTGGCTTTTACTTAAATAGAGAGGCACTGGAGGTTTGATTTTTTAATAAATGAACTTTATTTCTAACTAATTTTTGATTTCCAGAAATCAAAAATAGTACAGAGTGCCTTTATATGCCATACCCAGTTTCCCATTTTATTGACATCACATATTAGTATGGTGCATTTAACAAATGAACCAATATTGGTACACTATTAACCAAAGCTCATACTTTATTCAGATTCCCCTAGTTTTTCCCAGTGTCCTTTTATATTCCAGGATACCACATTACATGTAATGATTATACTCCTTAGATTCCTCTTGACTAGTTCCTCAGTCTTTCCTTGTTTGTGATGACCTTGACAGGTTTGAGGTAGTAAGATATATGAAGAGGTACAAGTCAAGTATTTTGCACAATGTCCTTCAATTAGAAGGTTTTTATGTTTGGTTTTCACAGTACTGAGGGTTGAACACAGGGCTTTGTGCTTGCTAAGCAAGCACTCTACCACATGAGCCATACCCTCAGTCATTTTTTGCTTTAGTTATCTTTCTAATAGGAGCTCACCTTTTTGCCCAGCCCTGCCTGGACCATGATGGTTCTACCTGTGCTTCTCCCATAGCTGGGTAACAGACATGCACCACCATCCCCAGCTTTTTATTGAGTGAAATAGGGGTCTTATGTACTTTCTCCCTGAGCTGTTCTCAAATTCAGTCCTTTCCATCTCCACTTCCCAAATAGTTGGATTACAGGCATGAGCCGTCATGTCTGGTCTTTAGAGGTTGTTTTTAATCTTAAATTGGGTTTATGGACTTTGGGGAAGAAGACATTTTCATTACATATCATTGTATCAAATGTATGTGCTATCTATTTGAATTTTATCACAGTTGTTAGTTAATTCTGATCACCTGGCTAAAGTAGTGTTTGTTAGCTTTTTCTCCTGTAAAAATATTTCCCCCCCTTTTTATACTGTATTCTTTGAGAGTAAGTCATTAACCATAACATTGGAGGGGTGAGTAGTTTTGCTCCATCTCCTTGACAAGAGAATATCCACATAAATTTTGTGTAGTTCTGTATGGGACGTTTGTTTCTATTCCCTCCTTAATTTATCCACTTACTTATATCAGTATAGGTTTCATGGTTATTTTATTTTTGGCTCAGATTATAAACTAATACTTTATTACTTTTTTGTTTTTGTTTTTGTTTTTGGCTTAAATTGTTCCAACTCTGACAATTAGTAGCTCTTTCAGTTGGCTCCGTGTTCCTTTAACATACTCTTATCCTTTTGTTTTGTTGAATAGTTCTTTTCTGGCATTATAAAACACTGTGGACACTATGGTTTCTTTTTACTAAAGAATGCTATTAGAAGCTAAGATCTGGGTGCTGAATGTGTTCAGTGCTGCTGGGTCATTGCTATTGACTTTAGGTCATCTCAGCTGTTAGAGCTAATCCATGTATACATACACATCTATAATGATTTCCATATCTATCAGTAGCTGTGGTAAGCTAATCATGAGTTCCAACTCTAATGTAGTGTACATGGATTATTCTAGTCTTTCCTTCTTACTTATGTAACCTGCTTCAATAGCGAGAAAGATTTTGAGAACAGTGAGAGATTTAGAACCGAGTGACATGATTTAATGAGATGACTTACTGATGTTATGAAAAAGAATTCCAGAGAGTTAGAAGTGAGAAGGCCAGTTTAGAGGATTTTATTAAAATCTAGTAATAAGAGAAGGATTTAACTAAGTATGAAAACAAGTAAGTTGGAATAATACGTAATGCTTAACAGAAAAGTGTTATAATTTGGTGCAAATGCACTGCTCTAGGAATGAGGAGAATTGGGTTCTAGAGTACATTCTTCTTCTCTTTCTCCTCCTTCTCATTATTATTATTGTACTGGTGGTACATTGTGACATTTACAAAAGTTCTTACAACATATCATAGCTGAATCATTCTCCTTTATCCCCCGCCCCCTATTCCTGGAATCATTTCCACAAACTTTCTTTGAGACATTGTCTTGCTATATTATGTAGCCCAGGCTGGCCTCAAATTTGCAATTCTCCTGCTCTCTCTGAGTTCTGTAATTATAAAAGTGTGCACCACCACAACTGGGTGCACATACTCTCTTGATGACTGGATACTGTTGGGTAAATGATAACTTTCCAGTATGCATTTTCCTCATACATAAAGTAAGAGGGTAGTCAGTTGTAATTACCAGAGTTGGGATTTCTTCAGTCCTGTGCAGCTTTAATTTTCCATGATTCCCAGACAAAGCATTCTTTATTTACCCTCAGTGTTGAAGATGTTTAAAGTGACAGTAAACTCCCATTTCTCAGTTTTGTGAAATCAACCAAGGTTCTAATTCATTGGATGAAAATAGGATATGGTTAGTGTGTAATTACAAACTGTGATTTTAACACTGCAGAAGGGGGAACCTGTCCATTTCTAAGATATATTTAACTGGTGGATCTATTTTCTGCTTCTCACAGCCTTGAAAGAGAAAAATTACTACACTTATGGCTGGAATTTTACACTCAATAGTTCAGAGACCCCCAGGCAGACTACAGGTAAGTACCTCTATTCAAGAATTTTTCCTATTTCTTACATGTTTTTTTCTAATTAAAAAAATTCAAGCAAGTTAAATTCTTATACAAATTCCTTTTTAAAAAATATGTTATTTTTTAATGTTGGGAGTAAGTTTTGTTAATGCTTGTTTTGCAGTGCTAGGAATTGAACCCAGGGTCTTGCTTATGCTAAGCAAATGCTCTAACACTAAGCTATATACTTAGCCCTTTATTTTTGTTTTATCTGCTGTTTTTTCCTAGAGAGAACAACTTTTCCTGGAGAACATGCCAACAAAAAAAAATGACTACCATTGATTCCTCTTAGTCTGCCTTAATCTTCTTAAAGTTTTAGGGGAAACCCTTAAATTATGAAAAGAGTACATTTTCAATCAGAGAAAGTCAAGAAAATATTGAAAAGCAGAAAAGAAAGAAAATCTCCCAGAGAAGAAAGGCATGTTAGTTTTTTCATGTATTTCCTTCTAATCTTTCTTTTGGAAAGTGCAACAGTGTAGCCTAATCTACACCTAAGGACAGGCTAGGTACAGACCTAGATGTGGACTGAGTCTTGCTGTGGACCTGCTGGCTGTAGATGATAGAAATGTCAGCTACTCTCCAAACAGTACCTTAACTTCAGATTAAGGCATGAATCAGTAATACTTCCTATTTAGTGCCACATAACTGACCCTCTGAGAGGGTAAGTGTCTCATGTCTCAGGCTATCAGCAGCAGAACTAGGATTAGAAGACCATGCTTTCCTTTCTTACCCCCATCCTTCTGCTTATTCACTAGTGGTTTATGCCATCTCTGCAAAATAGGGAAGGCTGGAAGGGAGTGGCTCTCATCTATCCGCAGAGTACTTTTCCTACTGTGAAAGGTTAGCAATGAATTCACTTTTTCAGCAGCCAGAGATAAACAGAATTGCAGAAGTAGAGAGTAGGAACAAGAGATAGTGACCAGGAATGAGGGCATTGTTAGGGCTAGAAAAGCAACCAAATACTCATGTCAGATTTTTTTTTTTACATTGTTTTGTCGAAGGTGAATTATTGCATATTCTCCAGAGCAAGAGTTGGTAAATTGTGGTCTCCAGGCCAAATTCAGCCTGCTACGTATTCTTGCACCCGAGTTTTATTGACACACACCCATACCCATTTGTTTACATATTGCCTTTGACTGCTTTTACTCTACATTGGCAGAATCAAATGTTGGCAATGGAGACCATAAGCTCCAAGGAAAAAATATTTACTCTCTGACACTTTTAGTAAAAGGTTACCAACCCCTGGTCTAGAAGTCTATATTTATGTGCTTTTAACTTTATAATATACTCGTGTTTAGATAAGATATATTCATTTAGCTAGGGAGCTGAGATAAACCTTTAACATTTATAGGTTAGGTCAGAACAGACTTTTGTCAGCTAAAAATTAGTGAGTTTCGATATCTGCACTAGATAGAGTTCTAAAAATACAGATTTTTCATATATTTTAGACGGTGAGAAAAGGTGTGGAATCTCTCATTGGTACTGATTGGATTCGTCACAAATTTACCAAATCAAGAATTCCAGATAAAGTAAGAACTGGTTTTTGGTTTTTTTTTTTTTTTTAATGTTACTATTCAAAATAGGTAGGTACCTATTTTGTAATGTTGAAAATGTTTTTATGTTAAATTGTAACTATAGGTAGTGGTACAGAATATAAAACACAGTAGGATTCATGTAAATGGTAATTATTAAAACTAAGTGTGTTCTGTTGCCTGTTCTGTGGGCCTTCACAAGAATGGGTTTTTATTACTCTGAGTGTGTTTATTCCTGATTAAGTTTGTTTGTTTGTTTTTCCTTTATATTTTGAGGTTCTGTGTCACCATTGTCCTGAGAAAATAGTAAGCTTTCCTGCTGAGGCTCTCACTATATGACTTTATTTTCACTTTCTATATCAGTTATTGCTACTTTGAATCTTTCAGCTTTCATCATTCTTTTAGAAAACATTGACAGCCCTCCATTGATTTTGGTTTTCATTTTGTTTGTTTCTTTTTTAATTAATACACTTTATTTCATAAAGCATTTAGATTTATACAAAAATTGACCAGAAACAATGGAGACTTCCTATATACTTCCTCCCCTCCCTCTACATAAAAACAGTTTCCCTTGATACCTAACATCTTGCATTGGTGCTACATGTGCTTCACCTGTTCATCCTTCCATCCCAATTCCCCAAACTCTGGCAAACACTGATCTTTTTGCTATGTATAAGTTTTATATTTTATAGAAAGTCACATAGTTGGAGTCATACAATTTTTGTAAAGTTCTTCTGTGTCTTTTCATAGCTTAATAGTTTATTTCTTCTTACTGCTGAGTAATATTCCATGGTATGGATTTACAGAGTTCATTTGTGTGTTCACCTACAGAAGGACATCTTGATTGCTTCCAGTTCTAGGCAATCATAAAGCTGTACAAATACTTGTGCAGGTATTTCTTTGTATGTACTAAGTTTTCCACTCCTTGGATAAATACCTAAATAGCTAGGAGCACAATTGCTGGGCTGTATAATAAACTGTGGTTAGCTTTGTGAAGCTGAGCGGGAGAATGTTTTGGCTGTCTTTTTTCAAAGTTAATTATTTTGGTAAAATATACAGAATAAGATTTACCATCTTATCTCTTATTTGAGATATTGGAATTCTTCAGATTTTGGAATATTTTCATGGACTATATCAGTTGAACATCCCATCTGAAATCCAAATCTGCACTACTCTGAATTCAGTGGATCTCAGAACATTTCAGTTTTTCAGATAAAGATGCTCAGTGCTATTACATTTTCCTAAATTCTTTACTGTCTTATGGTTGTTCCTACATTGTTCTACAGGTTAACGAAAAATCCGTAACAGTACAATATTTTTCTTAAAAGTATGAAATTCTTAGACTCCATCTGAGTAATCAGACTAGACTAGTAGAAATGTTCAGTTTGAGGTTGAGGATTATATAAAGATTAGGAACTAAATCATTCTGTAGTTGTGTGTGAGTGTTCATTTTTTTAAGAAAAAAAAAAGTACGTAGAAACTAAGTTGAAAATTTACTATTTAAATTCTTCCTTTCTAGGTGTTTCAGCCTTCACCAACAGATCATGAAAAATATGGTGGGGATCCACAGAACCCTCATAAACTGCACATTGTTACCAGAATAAAAAGCACAAAAAGACGTCCATATTGGGAAAAAGATATAATAAAGATGCTTGGCTTACAAAAAGTATGCAACTATTTTAATCATTAGTGTTTAAATTTGCTTTAAATTTTATACTTTTAAAACTTTAAGGTATATATTTATTGTTTTTCATGTTTAAGTATACTTCTTAATGTAACTTATTTGTAAGTTTGATTTAGACAGAACTAGCCTTCAGCTTAGCATTTTCCTGAAAATTTTTTAAATTCCTGCTTTTTTTTTTAAGTCCCATAACATTGTTCTTCTGTTTATAGGCACATACCCCTCAAGTTCACAAGAATATCCCTTCAGTGAACGCAAAGCTGAAAGTGGTTAAGCATTTGATAAGGTTTGTTGTTTATCTTCTCAGCAGTTTTAAAAAATGTTATATAGTGTAATTCTAAATGCATTTTCTTATATCACAGAATCAAGCCCCTGAAACTGCCACAAGGACTTCCAACAGAAGAGAACATGTCTAACACATGCCTCAAGAGCACTGGGGAATTAGTAGTTCAGTGGTATCTAAAGCCTGTGGACCAGGAAGCAAAGTCCTGATGTCACAGCAGCTTCACCTTAAAAAATGCAAATCTTTTTAAAATTAGCATACATTAATAGTACAAGAGATTTCATTGCGGTAATGCTGTCGATGTGTATGGTGTGCTTTGAATAAGTTCATCCCCTCTATTATATTCCCTTAAGAAAATAATTTTTATTTAAAGTTGATGAGAAAGTGTTTTCATTCAAATATATTTTAAATCCCAGACATTTTCACTGACTGAACCTGCTATGATTATTCTTTACTATATAGACTTGGAGGTTTTGTTGCTGTTACTTGGTTTAATTATCTGTCCTTTTCCTCTTACGAGTTTTACTCCATGAGAATCATGGGCATTGAAGAAGAAGAGGTCCAAGCAAAAGGGATCCATAAAATATTCAATAAACTAATAACAGAAAATTTCCCAAATCTAGAGAAAGTTATACGCATTCAGGTACAGGAAGCCTCCAGAACACCAAACAAACTTGACCAAAATAGAATTTCCCCATGACATATTATCATTAAAACAACAAGTACAGAGAATAGAGAAAGAATATTGAAGACTGTAAGAGAGAAAAAACAAATAACATACAAAGGTAAACCCATCAAAATCACAGCAGATTTCTCAGTGGAAACCTTAAAAGCAAGAAGGGCTTGGAGTGGGGTATTCTGAACACTGAATGAAAATAATTTCAACCCTAGGATACTCTACCCAGTAAACCTATCATTCAAAATAGATGGAGCAATAAGTGTTCCAGGATAAGCATAAACTAAAACAATATATGGCCACCAAGCCACCACTACAAAAGATTCTCCAAGGAATTCTGCAGATAGAAAAATGAAAGCAAACATTTTTGAACTTACAGTCTCACACTTGTTGCTAAGATTCAACACCACTTCATGATAAAAGCTCTAAGAAAACTAGGAATAGAAGGAATGTGCCTCAACATTCCTCAACATTGTAAAGGCTATATATGACAAACCTATAGCCAACATCATACTTAATGGAGGAAAAACTGAAACAATTTCCCCTAAAATCTGGAAGGAGACAAGGGTGCCCATTCTCCCCACTCCTGTTCAATATAGTCCCAGCCAGAGCACTAAGGCAAGAAGAAGAAATAAAAGGAATACAAGTAGGTAAAGAAACTCAAAATATCCCTATTTGCAGACGACAGGATCCTGTACCTCATAGACCCAAGAAATTCTACCCAAAAACTCCCAGACACCATAAACAGCTTCAAGATTGTGGTAGGATACAAAATCAACTTAAAAAATCATTAACTTTTCTGTACACCAATAATGAATAAATTTAGAAAGAATATATAAAAGCAATTCCTTTTACAACAGCCTCAAAAACAATCAAATACCTAGGACTAAACTTAACAGAGGATGTGAATAATCTCTACAAGGAGAACTACAAACCTCTGAAGAGATTGAGGAAGACTATAGAAGGTGGAAAGATCTCCCGTGCTCATGGATTGGTAGAATCAACATAGTAAAAATGGCTATACTACCAAAAGTAACCTACATGTTCAATGAAATTCCCATTAAAATCCCAATGACATTCATCACAGAGATTGAAAAATCTACTCTAAATTTCATTTGGAAACACAAGAGACTGCGAATAGCCATGGCAATACTCAGCAAAAAGAGCAATGCTGGAAGTATCACAATACCCAACTTCAAACTATATTACAAAGCCATAGCAATAAAAACAGCATGGTACTGGCACAAAAACAGATAGGAAGATCAGTGGAACAGAATAGAGGACCTGGATGTGAATCCACACAGCTATGCCCAAACTTATTTTTTACAAAGGCACCAAAAACATACGATGGAAAACAGACAGCCTCTTCAACAAATGTTGCTGGGAAAAGTGGTTATCTGCCTGTAGAAAACTGAAACTAGATCCATGTCTATCACACTGTACTAGTATCAACTCAAAATGGACCAAGGACCTCATATGTGGACTTTAGACCTAAAACAAATGCAGTAATATTAATGGACATGGGTCACATGCTAAGGGGAGAACACATACAGGAGGAATAGGGAAAGGTGGGAAACTCAAAACTTGAAAGTATTTGTGCCTACTTTAGAGGAGCTAATATAGTAATCTTAAACTGACAGAGGTCACTATGGGAAGGTGACCAGGAAGTAGTGAAGAGGTCTGGTAGGGATGAACCAACTCAGGTTGTAATACACATGTGCAAGGAAGCAATGCTAGGAATCTGTGTAGCTATCCTTATCTTAAACTAGCAAAAATGCTTTCTTACTATTGCTTATGTCTTCTCTTCCACAAAATTGGAGAAGAGGGCAGAACAGGTTCTGCCTGGAAGCGAGGAGTTTGGGGGGAGGGAAGAGCAGGGGGGAGAGATGGCTCAAACAGCATATGCACATTTGAATAAATGAATAAACCATAAAAAAGTTTTACTCCAAAATGGGTAAGAATGACATTGTTTGAACATCTAGATTTAGGTCTACTGACACCTTAAACCAATTGTCATTAACTTTTTGTAGAAATTGTTTTCTCATTTAATTGAATTCTGCAAATTCTGTGAATGGCTCTATCTTGGTCCATTTTGTGTTGTTCTAACAAAATACCTGAGACTGAGTACTTTATAAGAAAAAGAGGTTCATTTTGGCTCACAATTTTGGACACTGAAAAGTTTGAGCTCAGGCAGCCACATCTGGTGAGGGGCTCCTGTCAATGTCATAATATGGCAGATAGCATCACATGGCCGGAGCTCATGCAAGAGTGGTGAGTGGTAGACGAGATCATCTGGTGAAAGAGGAAGCAATAGACCTAGCTGGGGAAGCCAAGCATGCTTTATGATAACCTGCTTTCACAAGATGGGCATTAGTCCTTTCTGAGTATGGTGTAATCACTATCCATTAGGCACACCTCAAAGATCCTACCACTTCTCAATACCATTAGATTCTGGTCCAGTCTTTCAGCATATGAATGTTTGAGGAACAAACTGTGTCTACAGCATAGCAGGCTCTTTGAGTGAACACTGTACTGTGTGATGAAGAAATCCAAAGCTGGCCAAAATTTGGTCCTTAACCTTGGGACCAAGTTGACAGTCTGTTCAGGAGAGCAGAGATCAACCAAAGGTGTGAAACGTGGGATGCTGTTGAGTGCTGTTTTGTGCCTTGTATCTGTAAATAGGTATGTAGACATGGATATGTTTTATCCCTAAACTTAATGCCAAAAATACTACTTACTTTATAATTCTATATCACACAGCCTGAACTTTATTATTGCATTCTGCCTGAACAAAACATTCAGCTCTATAAATTCCTTCCTTGTGGAAGAAGAGTATGAAGTTAAAGTGCTTTAGGAATTACTCTACAACAAACTGCCACTCTTTTCAGCTTCAAAATGGATGTTCTTTGAATTCTTACAGAATCTGTGTCAACAGTTGAGGTTGCTATTTAAAAGAAGGAAAAGGAGGAAGAAATCTTTTAGGAAGAATTATTTTGTTTCCTTGTTTTTCAGATATCTGGTGGGGAGGGAGAATTAAGAATTTTAGGGGTGTTTCAGCACTAGAAAAGCCTGTGTCAATTCATGGAAGATGATGTAGTATCTTTGCATTCTAGTGACCAGTTCAGCTCAGGCATGCTTGATGTCCCAATGTCCTGACATAGGTATTAATGTTTTTGAGCACTGCATTAAGGGCAGAAGGGTCACTTTAAATATGGCCATGGAATGAAACCAGATCTCATTAATTAATAAGCTTAAAGGCAATTACAGCTTTAATTAAGTACTAAATGCTTTTCAAGTATTAAGGAGAAAGAAACCCAAAAGACACTATTAAGTGCTCAGTCTAGTTGGAGAGAGACCTCTATGGTCCCATATAAACATTTCCTTTCCTGCAGCAGAACTGAATACGTCTATGTAAATAAAAGCAGTCCTTTCTAATTTAGTGCTGTGTCTTACTGTTGATAATGTGAGTGTAATATAGACCAGGGAAAATTACATTGGTTAATTTTTGCCCAAAGAGAAAAATGTCAGTAAATAATTTTAACCTCAGTAGGCCACAGCTGAAGGAAAGGTTCTAAATGTTGAGTATTTAAAAGTAAAATTGTCTAGAAGAAAAAGTCCTCAGAGAGAATATGGGTATAGATCATTAAATCAGTTTTCTGTTACTGCATAACAAATTAACCATAAACAAAGCTGCTAAAAGCAACCCACACTTTAAATTACCTCATTTTCTGTAGATCAGAAGTGTGGTCAGAGCTTAGGTAAGTAATAATCTGTTTAGATTCTCACAGGCTGCAAAAAAAAAAAAAAAAAAAGTTTTCTGCCAAGGATAGGTTTTCTTCAGAGCCTTAACAGGGCAATGATTTCCTTCCAAGCTCTGAGGTTGTTGGAAGAATTCATTTCCTTCTAGCTTTAAGATTGATGAAAAGTTGCTTCTTGAAAGCCAGCATTGGGAAAGAGACTATCAGGATGAGCACTGTAAGTTAATCACGTAAATGCAATTTCATATATCCCATCACCTTTGTTGCATTCCATTGGCTAGAAGTAAACCACAGGCCCTGCCCGTTTCCAAGGAAGAGAGGAATTACATAGTGTGACTACCAGGAAGCAGGGATCACAGGGATCTCCTTACAGTCTACCAGCCAAGACTGGCAAGTCCATCCTGGAGCTTATCTCTGGAGCTGTGTGGTTGAGAAGGTTCTTCAGATTGGTGTTCCTTTGCTTCACATCATTTCAAAACCTCTTAAAGACTTGTTTCTCAGTCTCGACTTTGTGTCTCTAAGGATTGCTTTGTTTGACCTCTGACTGGTGACCTTTGAAGTTTTCAAACTCAGGAGACAAAGTTATCCAAGCACTATATCCTTAAGCCTGTGATTTGTTTTAGCAAACAGTCTGGGTGAACCCCAAGCTTTAAACTTTGGATCCGCTATGATGGCCAGCAACTGAATTCCCTTTTTATTCTTAGCTCTACTACTTGGAGTCTGCCTGTGTATGCTCATTTCAGAACTCAAATAACAGTTTGGGAGAGACTTTGAGGGTCTCTGGCTCTTTCCTATCTGTACTTTCTCCATCACTTTTCAGATGGAAAATGAAATGTGTCCCCTAGTTCTTCAAGCTCCTGCTCCACATGACCCTAACTGAGGCCAGCTCTCAACGTCAAGAGCAGTAAAAAAAAATATGGGAAACTCATGGAATGTCTTAACCTTTTCCCAAGAATTTTAATGCACCCAAATATTGTCTACATTTGTTTCCCCACCAGGGTTTTCAGGTAGTTGCTTTTTATATTTTGTTCAGAATTTATATCGTTGAAAGAGACTTGCCTTGATAGAAGCCATTACCAGAAGTAGTACCTGAGATGTTCTAGATAGGAGAGATGGGGCAATG